CTGTCAAAATTTTAGCTACTAATACTCACTGCAAGTATTTTTTAAAAATTGCTGAACATGGCCAATATTATAGCCTGCCAGACCCCTGGAGAAATGTCCACCCCTAGCAGAGCAGAGCAGTACGCAACACGCAATAGGCTGACTCACAGCCTAGGCTTCCGGTGCATCGGTAGACAGATAACACGGCACAAATGCATCGTAATCTGACAAGTACACAGCTGGGGCTGTACAAACCTCTGGTACAAGCGGTTCCGCGTACACAAAAAATGAGTAACTTCGGCAATTTTTAAAAAATACTTGTAGTGCGTATTAGCAGTTTTTTTGTTTTTGTTTTGTTATTTTGGATTTTGTTGTGTGTACTCTTGCAGTGAAAAAAATCAGGGCAGGTTTCGACATGTCGGATCGGACCATTCCCTTGTTAGACATACGGTAGGACTCCTTTGGCGGGCGATCAGCTTGTCGCAAGGCCTCTACGTGTACACAAACACAGAAAAACGCACACAAACATCCATGCCTTGAGTGGGATTCGAACCCACGACCCCGGCTTCCGAGCGAGCGAAGACAGTGCATGCCTTAGACCGCTCGGCTACCGTGACCGGCAAACCTTCCTTATAGCAGACCGATAATATCAAAATAGAATTAATTCTACAATTTTATATTTGTACCGTGCAGACTGGTAGGGAGCCGGGATAGCGTAGTGGGTATAGCGACTGACTACGGGCTAGACGACCGAGGGGTCCGAGTTCGAGTCACTCTAAGTTCAAGAATTTTCTCTTCTCCACGTCGTCAAGACCGGCTCTGAGGCCCACCAAGTCTCCTATCCAATGACTAACGGGGGCTCTTCCCCCGGGGGTTAAAGCAGCCGGGGCGTGAAGCTAATCACTCACCTCCAACTGGTGCCGAGTTCAAGCAAATATATATCTCTACATCTACTCCCCCATATGCCTTCAAAGCGTAGTGCTTAATTAGTTAAGCACAGGGAAATTTTTACCTTTTTACCCTTACCGTGCAGACGGGTACATCTGTCACACATGCGCAGATAGGCTGCTGCTGCCGAGTTCTGGAAAGAGTCATATCGCTGTGCGATGTGGCATCAGGACGGAGACACGAAGAATTGAACAGACCTTCTGCTTGGCCTCTCTGCTTTTCCCTCCAGCAGCAAGTTAAGCGAATATCGCTAGTGGAGTTGTTATAGTTCCAACATCCAATACCAATTTAATTTAAAACCATTACGACATGTGAGACATGAGACATAACATGAACTCTCATTATGCGTTCACTTGATATACTGAGTGCAAGTAGGTCTAAGTGGAACTGATTATTCCCTTTGCGGAATATGTTGCATAGACCCTACCAATGGTATGTGATGCAAAGCAAGGCTGGCGCGTAGAGGACTCGAAGAAGATGCCTCCAATTCTGTAGCCACGAGGCTATACCTCCAAGCACTGCCTCGCCGAAACAGTAGAAGAAGGATATTAGCGTACCGCCCAGAACTCGAGCACGGGGCCCAACTAGCTCCATACCTAAAAATAAATAACGCTTGATAAAATAAACCTCCGAAGAAAAAGGACATAGGTTCGACATGTCTGAAGCAATGGTTACATTAACTGTTCAAATGTTGAAATACAAAGAGATGAATTTGTGTTACTGTTTAGTGGTAGTTGCGGTAGACCTAACAGTAATAGTATTAGTACTAGTAGTGTTACGGGGCGCAGGGTAGCGTAGTTGCTTGAGGCACTATGCTACAAGCCGAAAGGTCGCGGGTTCGATTCCCGATGAGGTCATTGGATTTTTTTAATTGACCTAATCCTTCCAGCCGCATTATGGACAGTCGACCCCAGGGCCGTAGTGCGGGTGGAAGGATTACGTTAATTGAAATACCCAATGGCATCGGGAATCGAACCCGCGACATTCCGTCTTGTAACATAGTGCCTTAGCAAACTACGCTACCGCGTACCCCCATCTATAATAATTCAATTCAATTCTTTATTATTTATATGCCGAGTCAACAGCAACAAGACCAATAAGAGACACAGCACAGTGCAGATACAAGTAATTACATTATGGACAAACACAACATAAAGTCAGAGACAAATTAAATGTAAGCACTGGAGGAAAAACACATTAAACAACAACAATAATAATAATAAATGTAAAAAAGTAAAAGTATCCCTGTAATAGGCCGTGGAGGCCCATAGGGATGTGAGATGTTGAGGTTCCCACATTTTCTAGACAATCGGCTCTCTGATGGCCGCAAGATTGTCAGCCTTACGCAACGGCCACCCTTTACCCCTAATAACATTCCAAGACTATTCCTGGTGTTCATTTCTGTTAGAGGCTGAGTCGACCCCAGGGCCATAATAATAATAAATGTAAAAAAGTAAAAGTATCCCTGTAATAGGCCGTGGAGGCCCATAGGGATGTGAGATGTTGAGGTTCCCACATTTTCTAGACAATCGGCTCTCTGATGGCCGCAAGATTGTCAGCCTTACGCAACAGCCACCCTTTACCCCTAATAACATTCCAAGACTATTCCTGGTGTTCATTTCTGTTAGAGGCTGAGTCGACCCCAGGGCCATAGTGCGGCTGGAGGGATTAGGTAAATTGAAAAAAATCCACNATAATACAGCCGCGTTAACTCAGTGAGTTCAGCGACGGCTGGACGGTCAGGTTCCTGGCAGGGGCAAGTTTTTCTCTTCACCACAGCGTCCTGTGAAATGGGTACCGGGGACTCTTTCCCCTGGGGTAAAGTGACAGGGGCATGAAACTGACCACTCAACTCCATCTAATGCTGAGTTCAAGAATGGTAGAGCTATACTTTCACTCCACATATGCCTTCACGGCGTGGTGCTGAATTACTGAAGCCCAGGGACAACTTTACTCTTACTCTGTCAACCAGTGTTCTGTGAGTGTGGGGAAATTTTGGTACCAAACATTGGTAACAGAGGTGAATGAGAACCTTACTGAGAACAAACCCTGCTGTGTATATTCCAGAAGCAAACACTGGGTCCAGAAATTCGAAGACAAGGAATGCTTCGTAGCTCCAAGCCATGGAACGGACCAGCCCCATGACGCCTGCGCCTACCGTAGCAGTCACCAATGTCGTCCGTCGGCCTACCCTGTACGGAGGAAGACTCAGGTAAGCCAAGATTCATTTTTAACCATTTCCACGCCGCAGTTCTCTTTTGAGGTCTCACGAATTTTTGCACTCTTGATTTTGTTAAACGTTTGGGACCTTTCTGTCGCTTTTAGACGTATGTGGGTGTTGGGAGTTTTAAGATTTCTTTTCTCTTCATGCTGTTTGATGTTTTTACCAATTTGTCACTGTTAGACACTTTGAGAGGGTATATGTTCTGTCTTTTGTGAAGATTTGGGTTTTTACATGTTCGTTTCTTCTTTCTCTCGCCGGTCGACTGTTGAGAATAGGTATTTCGCACAATTTTTGGGCATCGTGTTGTAGATATTCGAAGTTTTTGAAGAGACCGTTGAAAAATCGTATCTTTCCTTTATCGTTTTCATTTCCGGTTTTGCTTGTACGGTTACAAAGCCCCACAAACACGAAATTAGTGATGTCCATTCTTGTGTGGTACTTCAACTGTAATCTCTCGATGTTTCATAAGTTATATTATAACCGGTACGGGAACGTAACATTTTTGATGATAGTTAACCTAAGTTCGCAGATAGCAATAACCGAATAAATTTATCTGGAATCATGTCGAAATAATGAGGTGACCCGTAACCGCCTTGAGGACGACAAAGCAAGTGCATTTCTACTGATAATTTCTAGTTATAACATTCTGTTGTTTATTCTGCGTTTGTGTTGTTCTGTGTTTAGGTAGAGACTTTGCGAAGAGTTGATCATTCGTACAAGGAGTCCTGCCGTCTGTACAATGATCATTGAACTGAAAATCAGATGCCAGGAGCCAAGGGAGCTGTAGAGCCAGTGAACAAAATTCATTGTTCTTAATTGACATACTTTTTTTCCCCTTGGCACTACAGCCCCAGTGGGCCTAGGCCTACCTCCATGAACTTCTCCGTTCACTTCGGTTTTTCTAGACCTTACACATTCGGTAGGACTCCTTGGGCGGGTGATCAGCTCGTCGCAAGGCCTCTACCTGTACACAAACACAGAAAAACGTATACACACAAACTAAACATCCATGCCCTGAGAGGGATTCGAAACCACGATCCCTGTTTCCAAGCGAGCGAAGACAGTAGATGCCTTAGACCGCTCGGCTACCGTGACCGGCAATTAACATACTTTACAGTAACCTTAATTCTAGTGAACGGTTGTAGGTACATTTTGTACATAAACAACGACCGGAACTCCCGGACGTTCGACTACACGCTGGACTCGGGGTAAGCGGTAACCGAGTTAAGTTAATGTTGAACTATCAACTCACCTGTCGGAAACTAGTCCTGCTAGCGGGAAACCTATGAACTGGCCAACGTTATTAACAGTTCCCACCAATGTCAGTTTCCACTCGTTTTCGTCGCACGTTATGTTCCACTGAAAGGAAACAGCATACGTCACAGGTAAACAGTTCACAAAGTGGTAGCCTTTTACATACTCGAATTTACGCTGTAAATTGCGTTCCCGTGGGAACGGCGTCTAAAATTCCTGATTTGTCTCCCTGCCCACATTGGAACTTGGAGTTCTAAACATTATGTCGCAATTTTTGGCAATAGAGAATGAAGTAGAAACGAAATAAAAATTCCGTGATTTTAGTCCGCAAGCGAACTATATCGACCGAGCGACCGCCGCTTGTCGGCGAAGTTAGTGCCAACGTTTGCGGATAGAGGGTATCGCGTGGTCAGCGCAACGAATCCTCACGGCCGTTAATTTCGGTTTTCTAGACCGGAGCCGCTATTTCTTTGAAAGAGCTCCTCAGTTTTCCTCACGAGGCTGAGTGGACCCCGTTCCAGACACACTACTTCTCAGAAAAAAATTCTGGTAGCGCCGGTAATCGAACCCGGGACCTCTGGATCTGTAGCCAGGAACGCTGACCACTAGATCACAGAGGAAGTCGAGAATGAAGTAGACTTACCTCATTAACAATTGTAATTTCTTCTCCGTTGTACAGCCAGCTCTGACATTGAATTTCATTGTTTCGGTCGAACATTCCCGACGGGCAGGCTGAATCGTTGTACGTGTATATTTCGGCAAGGAACGTAGATATGTTCCGCGGAGCGAACCGCAGGCAGCGAACGGGCCGCGCCTGGTAGTCACTTTCCTCAAAAGGTACGGCATTCTGAAGCCAATCTGGCCGGAACAAATCTTCCTCTCCCTCGCACTCAGGAATCCGGCACCTGCACTGAGATACGCAGTTAACCTGACGGCTGTGACACGTCTTTCTCTTCGGGTACTCTAAGCTACTTTGGTGGGTGTAAGTCGAGATAATTTGTATCTTGGGAAATTGATGAAGTATACCTCTGAATTAGCAAGATTTGTGATGAAGGATACGGTCTTCTGGGTCGTAACACCGCGTTCATTTCTTGCTTTGACTTATTCTTTGACCCTGAAGATGGAGGAAATATGTTCTCCCGAAACGTCGGGCTCTCTCAAAACTACATATCATTCATGGTCACCGCCGTAAGAGACTTAAATCCGATAACAATTTTTCTTACTGTTGCAGACTTAATTTTCAACTTTTAGTTTTCATTGTATCTCGATTTACATGATAGATGCTTTACTTGACTCCCGTGATTCCACGTCTTCTTACTGCACACCACACAGTTTCCCAAACTTATGGTTCATGGACCACCAGTGGTCCAACTCCATCTTCAAGGTCAAAATGACTTCAGCCTTTCAGTTTTCTAAGCACAGATTTTGGTATTAAGACATTTTAATATTTCGTTTTAAAACTAAAGCATTCTATGAATTTGGAACCTAATGTTTTAACCAAGTTGTTGTTGTTGTTGTTATTATTATTATTATTATTATTATTATTATTATTATTATTATTACCACCACCACCACCACTATCGCTGCTACTAATGTGATGTCAACCATTGAGGGAGGAACATGCTTCAGAAACATCAAGTTACGAGTATACATACATAAGCTGTTCTTCTTAAAAGTGCTTCTTCATTGGTCCACCGAAATGGAAATCGCTAAGCGCAATGTTCGGGCTAAATAGCGGATGGACAAGACATTTCAAGCAGTCTGCTGGGAAGTTGCTCTTCGAAGGTATTGTGGGACAAAAGGGCGTGCTCCGTCCTGATTTCCTGCAAGATGGGGCAACAGCTAAAGGAAACATACGGTGACGAGGGGAAAGCCGAGATGCGAAAACTGAGTTCTGGTTTCTTCTTTGCTGAAACTGAACAGTAATACGCCCCGGGACAGATGCCTCAATCCCTCTAGCTGTTATGTGGAGAAAGAGAGAAATTGTGCTTTACGCCTTGTTCTGTTGGATGTCTTTGTTGAAACAATAAGAAACTAGTGTAACACACCCTCGGACGTTACATCTTAAATATCCGTTGTAGAACACAAACAGCTGTTTGAAAACAGCGTGGGTTAAGACACTATGGTAACGTATAGACCCATTGCTAGGTAAGGACTCGGTAAACACATTCCCGCGCAAGCGTGCACGCGCGACAATAGGACGCCCATTGGTAGGCAACGGACTAGTCAACATACCTCCTTAACAAGAGGATCAATGTTTTCTATGCGGTCCGAATCGCGACCGTTGTTATGCAATGGTGCGTTATGCATACTGAAAACAATACCGGACAATAGAAGATGGTGCTTTCCGTGGAGGCCATTCAAAGTTATTATAAAGAAGTGTTTGTCAGCATAGAACAGTAGAGAACAGTAACAGTCAAGAAGAGAGTCGAGCTTCAGACGCCAGGCTGCCGGGGGATGAGCTTGGACTGTTGCAGAATAATGGCAAGAAAGGAATTAGGCTGTGAAGTGAAGACTTCATGTGTGATGAGAAGTTACATTGAGACTGTGATAAATCCGTTGCCAGGATACGACTAGTGAAGACTGAGAACCATAGTGTGTGTGTGTGTGTAACGGTGAACTGTAAAGTGTGTAATCAGCGACAGCGCTGTATTGCCTATAGTCCCAAGCTGTGAGTGTATAATGTGTCAATAAATCCAATCATCCAATCCCAAACCCTTCTATAGTCACCCATCCACGTGACAATATTTAAACCTTACAAGAATGACGTAAATTTTCAGATGACAGTATTACAAAGCGAGAACTTAATATTTGATAGGTTGTAAATCGCCTGATAGGTCTGTTCGTAGGACAGGGAAATATAGGNAACGGTGAACTGTAAAGTGTGTAATCAGAGAGGCAGCTGCTCAGAAGCCAGAGATAGACGTGGAAGGATAACATTCGTTTGGATCTTGTAGGAATAGGTTCTGAGGATGGGGAGTGATCAGAACCGACTCAGAATCAATGACACGGTTCTGCAACAGAAGAGAAGCTGTTGGTTTGATGTTGTTAATGGCTCCTTTAGCTGTTGAGTCAGCATTTTACAAATAAAAAAGATATTTGAACTGAACTGAACGGTATTTAGAACTTTCGGCCGTACTCTTGAAGTAGATTATTCACGCGCATTGAACAGTTAATTAAACAGTTTCTTTCTCCCTTGGCACTACAGCCCCAGTGGGCCTAGGCCTACCTCCATGAACTTCTCCTTTCACTTCGGTTTTTCTAGATCTTACACATTCGGTAGGACTCCTTGAGCGGGTGATCAGCTCGTCGCAAGGCCTCTACCTGTACACAAACACAGAAAAACGCACACACACAAACTAAAGATCCATGACCTGAGTGGGATTCGAATCCACGATCCCGGTTTCCAAGCGAGCGAAGTCAGTACATGCCTTAGACCGTTCGGCTACCGTGACCGGCAATTAAACAGCTTACATTCGGTTTTATGAAGTCATTATGATGTACAGGTTTTACGTTCATACAGTCCGGTATCCACTTTTCAAATTGGTACACTACCTGTATTCCAGATCTCCCGCGGTGAACACGTAACTAAGCGAAAACGCAGCAGAGAGTAGTATTGCAAACCCTACGAGCAAGTAGTTGATGGCTTGGAATTTGCCAAAGTGACCCACTTCGTCCAGAATTTCGTCTAAGTCCATTGTTTTCTAGAGATAAAAGCAAAGAAAGTGAAACAAAATCATTTAAATGTTTTCGCAATATTCATCACTATGTCAATAAATATGCGTATTTGACCATCAAGCCAGTGACATTGTTTCACATATATTATTTTTATGCGCGCTACATCATCCGCCCATCTCATTCTCCAGCTGCCCATCGTCGTCATCCGTACATCCATCCTCCTAACACTTAAACCAGCTTAAAGAATACAAAAGAATGCATGCGCAAATACGAATATTTATGGTCTGCTTGGGATTCGAATATTCAGTCTCTTAAATGAAGATAGCTGAGTAGATAAGGTGCTTGGTATTTCAGAGATAACATCACATCCAGGCTTTCACCTTGTGGTTCTTGTTGCCCGTGGACCCACAGATAACTGTAACCTTAAGATATTGGTGAATTCATGATTTTTTAGCTTAATAATTGCATATTAATTATTATCTATTTATTTTGTTTTGCAGATATTTCTTATACGAGTTTATATAGCGGTATTTTATTAACCAGTAGCCTTAAGGTTGTAATATATTTTATTCGTAGAATAACTACGAGTATGTAGTGTTTTTTTTAATAAGAACTTTTAACTGGATGAAAACTTTAAAAAAATTATAATTTTATCCTTAATATTGTGTTGATTTCCTTATTCCTTTTTCATAAAAATTGTAAAAAAAAAAAAAGCAAAATATAGAAAGTTTATATCATTCTATCCAAATGTTTCATTTTGGAAACTTGCTGAATGGATTTCGATAGATTTTGTATTGATATTTTTACAAAGAAATTTGAGTGAAACGTTTATTTATGTTAGTAGTGGTCAAATATACTTTACATGAAACTCTGATAGTAACCCTATTTCATTATTTGCATTGCCAGTATTAGCCGGTGCTTTCATAATAATGTTTGACGACTAAAAATCTAATATACCATTTTTATCCTGTAGTTAGAGTCAGTGAGCAGAGGAATATCCTACATGAAATAAGAAAACGGAAGGCTAATTGGATTGGTCATGTTTTACGCAGAAACTGCCTTCTAAAAGAAGCTATCGAAGGAAAGATAGATGGGCGGATAGAAGTGACAAGAAGACGAGGAAGAAGACGTAAGAAGATGCTGGATGACCTTGGGGACAGAAGAGGATACTGTCATTTGAAGGAGAAAGCTCTAGATCGCATTAAGTGGAGGAATTGTTTTGAAAGAGACTGTGGACCTGTCATCTTGACAGATTACTGATGATGATGATGACGAATATCTTAGGTCTAATTTTTCTTCGATAAATCCCATCGTACAAAGACAAAATCGCGTCATATGAGGTACGCACATTACTCAGATCTATAAATTTTATGCGAAATGATTTTCGTTGCAGCGAATATATAACGAAATACACCGATAAATAATTTTTGTATATTGAGATGACTGTATTGTGATTAGCTTTGCAAGAACAGATTTGAATTTGTAGTAAATGAACATCACAGACAGAGAGGTATGCAAAATAGCTAAGAACATATTTAGAAAATATATTTACTCTTTGGAGCACATATCACTCTTGTCGCCCTTCGAGTAAGAACAGGTTCGAGTTGTTCCCTTCTGTTCGTAAATGTAATTCACCAAAGACATACACTTCACACTAGAACTTACATTCACGTTTTGTTTGTTTCCTTGGATTTATTTATTGTAGAGTTCTGAGCTCCAATTTCATCCGTTAGAATGATAAATGCAGAGCGAATCAGCTGTCGTGTGCTGAGATAAATATATTTGACGTCCGATATCAGGCAACGCTGCGACTTCTCTCAATCCTGGGTACTCCATCGTATAGGACTGTTACAGGCCCTGAACTCTTTATCAGTTAAGCCATATAGAACTGTAGATGAAGAGGGAGACATATTGTGAAGATTATATAAGTCTGTCGCCATGGAGTTCGGTTCCTGTGAACTTCGGTCATAGATAGCTCGACTAATTTTCTTCCCGATTCAAAACAAAGTTCAAACCTGTAATCAGCCGATTACAGTGATTAAGCGGTCTGAGGCGTGTATGGTCTTAGCTTGAACGCTGCGTCTGCAGATTCTCTCTCTCTCTTTATCTATCTATCTATCTATCTATCTATGGCCCTTTGTTGGGGGTTGGCACCTTTTTCAGTTTATTGAGCGTTTACACAGTCGGTAGGATTCATTGGACCGGGGATCAGCCCGTCGCAAGGCAGCTACCTGCACACAGGACAGCACAAACACAGAATGAACACACACAGACATCCATGCCTCGAGTGGGATTCGAACCCACGACCCCAATGTTCGAACGGGCGAAGACGGTCCATACCTTAGACCACGCGGCCACTGTGATGGGCACGTCCGCATTTTACTGAACTTTACTGTACTCTGTAGGCGGCCTCCGTAGTCTAGAGGTAACGTTCCCACCTCATGACTCGTGGTACGCGGGTTCAAACCCTGCGGAGGTCGTCGAATTTTTAAGGGCGGAAAAATTCAGGGAACAAGTCCTCCGGGAGGGACTTTAAGCCGTGTGTCCCGTGTCGTAGCTTTACGGCATGTAAATGAACCTCATATCTCCGAAGGAGGTCACTGAGCCAAATTCAAGGACATTTCCCTCCCAACAGTAGTCTCTAACGCCTCTGATAGATGGGGGAAGCATTATAGATACCGCCAAGCCAGTAGAGGCCGAACTCGCTGGCTCGGTCGGGACTGATGGTACGCACCAATATTGGTAGGGTATAGAGACTGGTAGAATATCATAGAGGGAAGCACAATGGACCAATACTGGTCTAAGTGCATGGGGAAACCCACCCTCTCTAATAACTAATTAACTACTGTACTGTGTAGATAGAGGTTTTACGATCTGTTGTTTCCGTCCAGCCCTTGGTGCCCTGCCAAATGCCTACAGACTCACTATCTCAGAGCGTATTATAAATCGGAACAGGTTATAGGAGAGAGACAGTAATCACATTAGCACTAGTTCTGCAGACATTGACGTAACTAGTGTTTAGGGGAAATGCGCAGTTTTAATTAGTCGCGATTATAGAAAACTTCAAAATTAGCGAGCCCATTAACTTTTTCTATCCGAGTATTTTACAAATTAAATAAAAAAACAAATGTATACAACTCGTGGTGTGGTTTCCCATATTGTACTGTAGATTCTAAAGGGTTCTGACGATGGTGTGTAACACTCAAAATTACTGAGTTTTTAGACTTTGTCCATCGTCCATTATTCTAAAAACTCGTGAAAAAATGTTTCGGGAACTGGATCTTTTTCAGTCATCAGGTAAGAGGGCACACCTACTCTGTTGAGTCCCTTAGGAAAAGCTAACCTCAATCACTAACCCTTTTTAAGGAATCCAACAAACTGTCTCCCACTCACCTGAGGTTGAAAGCAAATCCAGTTTCCGAAACTCTGTGTTTTCTAGTTTCTAGAATACCGGATATTGGACAAAGTGCAAAAACGCAGTGAGTCTGAATACCAAGTACCATCCCTTGACACCACTGCATGGCGCATCTCCATTTTGCGGATCTCCAGAAATGGAGGGTGCTTGCAAGTGCAATATAGATCTACTGAATAAGGGTTGCAACAGCCTGCAAGCCATTGCCTCCGGATTTTGTAAGGTGGTCGGTCACGAATTGAAACACCCGCACAATAACATATTAGAATATTATGAAATATTTTTTTTATTTAATTAATAGCATATTTACAATCTACTCTCGATAATATGGAGTAATAAGTAATTTGTTCTAAGTAGATGTCTTGAGTAGAGAAGTCATCCACTGATGATACTCCGAAAGGCCCCGCAGAGGAATGGCGATGGCTTTCATCTTCGTCATCTGCGGATTATGAGGCCAGACGGCCACAGTCTCCTCAATCCTCTTCTTACATTTGGTGTTAGGAAATATTACACTTCTTATCGAACTTGGAAGAATTCTTTGAATAGTTCCAGTGGTGGGTTCTTGTGAACACACCACTGAACCTTCGTATTGCATAAAAGGTGGCGAATTTATTGACCAGCTGGATAACTATTAGCTTCTCAAAAAATGCCTCTATTTCAAGGGGTTAGTTACAATATATGAAAGTTGTCAAACACAAATTTCAAGGATCACGATGCAACAGCTTGTATAAGGTTTGCATGATAGATTCATTGCTCGCAGTATGATTACTATCCTGAATCGATTTTATGGGTTTATATTCGATATTCGCTTCTGTCTTAGTTTGTCTTCGTGGGCATGTCCCTCATTTTTATTGTAAATAATTTTCCTGTTGTGTCCTATTGATAAAATTTGATCCTAGGTCCTGTAGATTTGGTTGACAGATGTAGTTCGTCCAGTAATCGAAAGTAGCTCTTTCTAACAGAAGCCACTAGTAGTCCCACTCCTCTTTTATTTTTTTTTTAAACCTTAAACTGGAAGTACATTCTAAAGGGTTCTAACGTTTGCGTATAATAACACTGGGTATTACTGGGGTTTTGGTCTTTGTCCATCGTCTGGTATTAAAAAAAAAGCAATAGAACATGACACTGCATTTTGGAAATTGGATCTGTTTCTGTCCTCAGATGAGGAGGGAGACACCTACTTTGTTAGATCCCTTAGAAACAGCTGGCCTCGGTCACTGTACAACCTATGTCAGTATACAATTCCAATTGAAGTTGGAAGCGCTGTATTGTCTTTGGAATGCCTGACGAAGGCCCAGAAGCCAAGTAATCCTAAGAAAATAGTTACATCTATTCACAGTCGTCATGATTATTCGTTTCAATCTATAATTACGTATTTTTCTTTTATTGCTAGTGGGGTGGGACTAAGTCCCTTGTACTGCGGCCACTTCTGGCCTATTATACTAGCCCCAGATGAGAGGTGAGGGTGATTGTGGAGCAATTGGTGGAATGAAGATTGGCAAGGGAAACCGAAGTACTCGGAGAAAACCTGCCCCAGCGCCACTTTGTCCACCACAAATCCCACTTGACCAGACCCGAGATCGAACCCGGACCGCCACGGTGGGAAGCCAGCGACTAACCGCTTGAGCTATGGCGAGGCCCTAATTACATATTACTGTCACAGTAAATACTAGTGTGTCTTAGGACAGTGTTTCTCAAACGCTGGGACATGTTCCACTAATATTTATTGGTAGTTGGCTAGGCAGAACGTAATGTTCGAGGCAAGGTGTTTCATTAATGATTAATGTAATACTGAAATGTACGTAACTGAAATACACGTTTTGGGAAGACAGCTGGTTGGACTATACATTTAAATCACGAAATGGCCAGTTGAACGTAGAATGCGGAAGGCCTAGAACCTCCGACGTATTGTTTCCTCTTTATAGTTTCAGCGGTAATGCATCATTGTCTCTAGAGAATTCGCAGAGGTTGCCAAAATTCATATTTTTAAAACTACTCAAACAGATATTTCTCCCAACAGTGTATTTGTCGGGTGTTTTAAATATAGCACATGCATTTAGCTAAATGAAACAGGCAGTAATATTTCAATGCGGAATTCCAGCAAACCTAATAGACCCCGGTATAACTCCAAATATCTTGCCCAACATTAACACACACAGACAAAACATTCCAGCATTGCAATATGGCTTGTCTGCTGTTGAGAAAGAGGTTCAGTTCATTTTGTATACTGTAATATCAGGCTTACTGTATTCTTTCATAGTAGTTCAGTTTCTCCAGTTGTAGTTGGCAAGTCTTAAATTTAACGTTTCTTGAAGTAGCTCTATAAGCAGTGAAAATGCAGCTGACATGGAGCCAAACAAATAGAAATGTACACATGAGATGTACATGTTCTGAGATTGGAAAAGACAAAACTGGATTCAGTTGAAAGGCTCTTTTACGAAAGGACCCACTCTTTTGGACATTTGCTCATTTAGTGCCACAAAGATGGGGACAAAAAATTCCTTCGAGATGTTTGTAACCACAGAAAAAACTACATGGTGCTATAACCCAAACCCCAAGGTCATAATTATGTTACATTTGAAGTTCTGATAATGAAGAGTAACATTTAGGTCTTTTTGTTTATGACACTTTGTATTCAGGTAGGTGGTTATTAGAACTTGTAGAAACATACTGCCACCGTTCTTCCTTGTTACTGACTCGCCAGTCTAGAACTGGCTTTAATTCCTACTTTTTATGCAGGATGTCCCAGGATCGAATCTCAACCTGGAGATCAGCTACGTGGCAGGATATTTATCACAGGTGTACACATAGCAAGTTGGCTCGAGCAATAATGCTTGTAATCTGAAGGTTCCTAGTTCAAATCTCACCCAGGTTGATTATTGTCATTGTGGTTCTTTTGTGGTTTTCCTGTCCATTTACGCAGATGCTGGGACAATGCCTCACATTAGGCCATGACCACTTCCTTTCGCATCATTCCCAATTCATTGTTCACAAATCACCCTACCATTCAATGCTAATGACAAACATAAACAAAGTAACAGTTTTGTTCACCAAAGTTGTATTTTCCATTTGTGTGGTATAGATTGGCCTCAATCATACCCACTTACTTACTTACTCATGGAGCTGAGCCCTTCTGGAGGAGCTGCCAATTCTGCAGCTACTCAAAAATTTCCCAGCATTTTATGGAACCCGAAGGTTCATTACCATGTTCACAAGAACCCTCCACTGGTCCCTATCCTGAGCCAGATCTATCCAATCTATACCATCCCATCCTATCTCTCCAAGATCCATTCTAATATTGTCCACCCACCTATGCCTTGGTCTTCCCTGTGGTCTCTTTCCTTCTGGCTTTCCCACCACATTCAGACCCACTTCTCTTAATAACTGTGTCAGACAACTCCATTTCCTATCTCAAAACCTAAAGTATCTTTGAACACAGATATCTGAATTTATTTTATTTCCCCATCTTTTATTAGAAAGAATCAGGGTAATTAATTCTGTAAAACTGACTGGCAAAGGTCTGGACAACTAGGGTTCCACTTCTGCTAAATATAAACACTTTTTCCTTATAAGACCTTCTACACCAGCTCTGGGTTCCCCCCCCCCCCAAGAGTAAATTGTCCAGGGCATGAAGAGAAAAATCTCATGACCATGCCAGGAATAAAACCCTGGGCATCCAACCTATGTGCCATCACTATGCTGACTGAGCTTTCCTGGCTCATTTTAATAGCATAGATGTAAATTTATTTTCATATTCCTCCAGTTTTAGTGGTCTGTAGTTCATCATTAGTCAGACCAAAGCATCTGTCACTGCTCCACCCACCTAATAAGGAATATTTCAGGATAGTCAGGAAGGACAATACATCATCAAAGTCTGAATAATTCTCGAAGTGAAGTTACTAGCGGTTAATTACTAATGAAACACTGAATACTTTGTGTATAAACTTTATTCATTAAACATTTGCAGGTTCTATCACAATACAGCCAATTTGGATGCAGTCTCTCTAACATCAGCCACATTTTATAAAGACTGTCATCATCCGTTTACACAGACTGCATAGATGATACCTGCTTGAGGCAGTCTTCAAATTGCTTTAAGTAACAAACTTAACTATTACCATAATTTATTAAAATACAGGACATCAACAGAAACACTAGGAACACTAAGAACAGGTTGGATACCATCAGAGAGAGCAAACACTGAGACATGGTAATTGCAGTTTCATCACTTATATCATATCAGCATAATTTCACAACTACAAAATGTGTTTGCCCCTTCAGGCAGCACTGGCTCCTTTTACCCTTGTGAAATATCACCAGATGAAAATTGGAATATTTTATTTATTAAACAACAGATTTAGGTATACTTGTACATGTAGAAAAGGTTTGTGAGAAATTGCAGTTCTTCAATTTGGAACATTTTAGGCACTCTTATATGTATAATAATTAAAAACATGGGTTAAAAGGTCAACATTAAGTTCCTGAGAGTAAAAAGCTGGAAGATAATTGTATAGTTACTTTAGTATTCAATAGCAAGGTGCTCAATTAGAGATGCATATAAAAATGATAAGAAAACCACCTCATTGGTAGTTTCTGGCCTGAGTAATTTTCAAGGAAGAGAAGAATATGTCCATTTCATGTCCTGAACCAGTTAAATTCACAGCTCATATCTTACTTTTTACAATCCATATTAAAAAAATTCGTGGCCTGTAGTCTGCAAGCAAACTATACTGACCAAGCAACCACCTCTTGTCGGCGAAGTTAGTGCCAACTTTTGCAGACAGACGGTGTTACGTGGATCCCTACGGCCGTTAATCTTGGGTTTCTAGACCGGAGCCGCTATTTCCTTGAAACAGCTCCTCAATTATCCTCACAAGGCTGAGTGAACCCCATTCCTGACCCACTACTTGTCAGAAAATCTGGTAGCGCTGGCAATCGAACCCGGACCTCTGGATCTGTAGGCAGGAACTCTGACTACTAGACCACAGAGGTGGTCCAGTCCATATTACTGTTGTTATTATCTTCCTAGATCTCTGAATTATACTTGCTTTAGGTTTATCAAAAATATTGCACTACTCATTATCTTCACACAGGCTCCGTGGCCTGTCCATCTCATCCTTACTGATATCAAACAGTGGACTATCCTTGTACTTTCATTATCATGAATTCTGAAATGCTGTCAAAGATAATGTGATGTAATTTTGATGCTATAATACAGGAATGCCAATTCCACTGCTTTCCACTTGTGTTTGTGAGAAATTTCAGAATATGCCTACAAAAATAAGAAAATATATCTATGATGAGCTTTAAATATCTCACTAAAAAGCTTAATTTCTATCACTCTTTCTAAATGCAGATCTACCCACAAAATCTTAATACTAAGTACAAACAGTACACACTAAACTGCACACAAATCATTGAACTGACACTGTCCTTTGCACTGAAGTACTTATAGTCTGTTGTCCAGTCATTGTGCCACAACTCACAGAACTCATGCTCTGAACAGAGCTGGCCTGAAGCCTTGAGATGCCCATTTGTGGCATCATGTGCGCTGTCGTCTGCCCAGGTTCTCAGCTTCCTCCACAGTGTCTGGTAATTTTTGGTTTAGTGTTTCGGGAATTAAAAGTACTAGCAGTCCAGATGCAACAGACATGCCTCCAAATAGGAAGAAAGGTAGTGACTTGTAGATCTCAGCCTGAAAGTAAACAGTGCCATGATGTTTATTTGAGGCACAAGTATTTGGGTTTTCAGTGCTGCTATCATACACACAGCAGCTACAGTCAATTCAAACATTTACCTTCCTTTTGTAGCTTATTTCTCTTTCTCAACTGAGTTTCAAGAAGCTTCTTACGAACACTTTGTCCTTGGAGGCCATCCCAGTGTTGCATTTTGTAATTTCCTACAATAAGTACTAACAAGATGGTGGACAAGACCCTATGAGATGGCAGCAACACTAGTGCCACATAATTTAGGAACATGACATGATATATGACACTAGTTCTTCAAAAATATATGAAACTTTCGTTTGTAAAATGTAAAATAACAATAGAATGACAATGCAAAATGTGTATTTAGTTATCAGTTCAATGGCAGTAACTAATGAACCACTGAGGCTAGGAGTCTGAAATAAATCATAAACATACTCACATACTTTGTATGAAATGCTGTACCCATTGAACTTGATCTTGACAGAATCGATATTTAAGCAAGATGTTCTTCACAAAAATAAAATAATAACTAACTTCATGGTACTGATCCCATCTTGAGAAGCTGCAGTCATGCAGCTACACAGATACCTCTAACATCTTATGGAACCCGAAGGTTCATTACCATGTTCACAAGAGCCCTCCATTGGTCCCTATCCTGGTCCAGATCCAAAGAATCCATCCAAGGCTGAGGGCCTCTGGGACATTTTGTACCGAGCTTATTTTTTATGGCAAGGAGCTGTTAGCCCCATGCCAATCCCCCAAGCTGGAGGACCACACCATGTCAGCTGTCCACCACTGCTTATTCAATATAGTTGCAACTACCCTCTACATCTGGAGGCCGTCTCTTCCATCTGCAACCTGAGGATGCGCCATGTTGTGGTGATAACAATAATAAGAGTAATTAATCTGCAGGATTAGAATCCTATCCAAGAGGAAAGTAGGCTTTTTTTAAGTTTTACTCAGAATTCATTTTAATTTACCACTGTTCAGTTCTACAGCTATTAAGTTCCTCTTTGTATATGTAATTAATGTATATCTTACTCAGTGATTCAGGGTTTTCCTCAAAAACCTGACAGTTATTCACCTAGTCAAGCAATTCCCTGTGTTTTCACACCCAAAGTTTTGTTACTATGTTCATGAACACCATTATTAGGCCATATCCTTAGATATCTAAATCCATTCTGGCCCCTCACACCGTACTTCTCCAAGATCAATTTTAATATTGTCTCTCATCTAAATATCCAAGTAGTTTCTGACCCTTCGGGTTTTCCGAACAGAATTTTGTATGAAATACTCATTCATCTGATTCATCATGTTATTCATCTGTTTTGAAGATGTTTATAAATTGAAAATTGTACATGGTAATGAGATCTGTATTTTTAGTGCACTATTTTTTTGTACAGCAAGCCATTTATTAAACAAAACTGCTACAGTTTAATCTCAGCATTCTTGAAACTGCAGTTTACATTTAACCATATAAACCAAGATTAAATTTTCTTGGGAACTTTTAGTATAGATTCAGTACCACAGTTAATCATAACTTATTATTTAACAATACTGGCCATACATTAACTACTGCATTAAAATTATATTTGTTCTTTATGTTTACAATTGTCAAGGTGGGAACAAAGTAATAAGACTCCTAATTATCCTGTCTCTTACTGGTACAGCGAAATATTCTGGATGTGCTAATGCAGGTATAATCCCATACTTCCATTGGAATGAAGCCACACTAGGCTTGTCAGTTCTGCCTTGTAGAATGATCAATTGACAACTGTTCCCAAAATTATGCAGTCATCATCATATCATAAACACACATTACAGTGAAACCCCCACTGACGCTTTCTTTGGGGAGCTATGGATTTGAATATAAACTTGGGAAAATTTTAAAGGAGGTAACTGAACACCGAGATCACTGACTTCGAGAGCATTTAAACTGAACCTATATGAAGAAATAGTTCAAGTGGTTAGTCGCTGGCTTCCCACTGCAGCAGCCCAGGTTTGATCCTGGGTCTGGTCAAGTGGGATTTGTGGTGAACAAAGTAACGCTGGAGTGGGTTTTCTCCAAGTACTTCGGTTTCCCCTGCCTATCTTCAGTCCACCAAATTCTCCATCGTCATAATCACCCAGGGCAGGTACAATAGGCCAATCAGTGGCTGCCGTGTCAAGTGGACCCAGCTGGGCCCCCCCCCACTATGCGAAAAATGAAGCAAAATTGTAAATTGAGGGATATGAATGAAGGTTCCACTGTAATGTAAATAAGAGAAATAGAATACTTACCAGGAGTGGAGTCTGAGGCGCAATAATGGAACCAATACGTCCCAGCATTGAGCAAGTGCCAAGCATTGAATGTCGGAGCTCGGTTGGGAAGAGCTCAGCAGTGAACACGAATATCACCGTAAAGGCAACAGTAATGGCAAACTTTCCCGCCAGGAACACAATAAGTTTTGCTGTCTCATAATCTGTTAAGTCAACAGAAAGAAATATTTTATGAATTACAATTTCTTCCATGAGCTGTATCAATAAATATATACTGCTTTAGTTGAAAGATCTCTAAACATTAAAGTATGATAGTTCGGTGCTTATAATACAGTTATGGAGCCAATTAAACGACAATCAGAAGTACTTAAAACGCCTGAATATCAAATAATTAATCATCTGTGATCCTCAAAGGGAATTAAATTATCATCAGTTAGAAATTTTAGACAATATTAAGCAAATATAATGCAGCCAGAATCTGTACTAGTGAAAATTATTCACAGAAATAATAACTAAATTGTTTAATTATAAATTTTTAGGTCTGATTGGAATGACATGGTAGACGGACAAATATCTGAAGCAAACAGATGCCATAAGGTCTTCTAGAACTTCTTTGTTTTCCATATTATAATTCTAATCTCCCCGTGAATACTGCACTTCATATACGAGGGGGGACCCAAAAATAACCGGAAACGACCTGTTGCGCACGCATGCTTTGTAGTTACGAGTTGTGCTGCTAGGTGGTGTTAGCAGGGGGTCTCCCGCGACTGTTAGTGAGCTGGCGTCAGTCTGAGCTAAGTGGTTTGTCTGTGGTGCTCTGTTGTGTGCGTTCCTGTTTCAACCCTTTGGCGATTAGTGAGATGGCAGACCAGAAGGAACAAAGAGTGTGCGTGAAATTGATGAAGATCGTCGAAAGACCATTGACCAACTTTCTGAGGAAACGAACATCTCGTGGAGCACGGTCCAGCGAATTTTAACCGAAGGTTTGCACATGAGACGGGTGTCTGCAAAATTTGTTCCTCGCTTGCTCAGAGATGACCAAAGAGAAAACCGCGTGAATGTTTGCCGCGACTTGAAGAGTGAAGTGCAGTTTTCCCTAACAGAAAGCAAAATTTCGATACCCATCCGTTATCACCATGACAAATCATGTTGTTTGGCTCAAGGAACATTCTGCTGATAGACAGTTCTAAGAAAGACATGGCAGCCCAGTGGAATTTATTTAAAGACACCCTATGCAATTTAGACAACACTATGGGCAATGTGCGCCATGAATGTTACTGTCATGACTTGTACTATAGAAAGAGAACTTCCAGTTGCTGGTGGTGAGATTTCTTTAGGACTTCTTTAGGCCTCAGAGTTGTGCTGAATCTCCTACAGTGTTTTGCTAATTCTGAAAGCCACATTTTACATTTATCTCACCTATTAAGAGTTTCAATCTGCTTCAGAGAGAGAAAAAATATGATGACAGGAAACTGAAACTCTTCACATTTAAAAATAGCCACTACAGACTGACTCTCTGTCACACAGAATGACAGTGAATGTGTAATATTTATAATCAGCTATGACACAGTCATCAGCAGGAAGGTGGAACAGAACAAATACACACAATATCAGCATAGAGCAACCAGTATCAGTCTCAGCGAGTCACCAAAAATACATGGCATTATTTTAGACTACCTTATTTATTAGAACAGCTCTAAAGATTTTTTTTTGTTTTGCACTTCACTTTAAGGGCAAGGGTAATTACACTGTGTAATAGGAGTCCTGTTTCTGTAACTTGAATCACTTCAAAATCCAATACTTAAAGCTCTGCATGTCAAGAAAGTGTCCAATTACTGCCTTTTTTCAGCTACCTTGTGTCCATCTTCTCAAGCCATAATAAATTAAATACAAATCCATGATAAACTGATGATAACTGTTAAGAGTGCCATACAGAGACTTAGAGACATGGCAGTGTTAATATATTTGATTCTTTGAGCATTTTATGATACTGCAACTATTCAGGTCAAGTATTGCCAAAACAATATCTGGATTGTGATTAATCATGAATTAAAAGGGATTAGGGAGGGAGCCTATTTTAACTTCTTGCTCCAGTGTTCACCTGCAGGAAGTGAAGAAAACCATGAAACATTTTCCAACTGGAGAACTGGTGACAGACTGGATACGAAGGATGTACCTCAAATAAAAATCAGACACAAGCAGCAGTGGTGTGAAGCTGACCACTCGCCTCCAGTTAGTACCCAGGTCAAGAAAATGTGGATCTATACATCCACTCACCCATACACTTTCATGGCGTAGTTCTTACTTAGTTAAGCACAGGGACAACTTTAACTGTTCATATTTCATGGGGAGAGCCAGAATTCCTGCAGATGTCACTGATTACTGTTCTCCACCAGGGGCACACAGCAGCGTAGTTAGTTGAGGCACTGTGTTACAAGCTGCAAGGTCATGGGTTCGATTCCTGATGAGATCTCACAATGTCTCACAAACCTACAGGCCTTCACGGCCCATTACAGGGATAGCTTTACCGTTTTTACCTTTACTGTTCACCAATTTCATAAGTTACTGAGGTAGACATTATTTTATCAGCTGATGGTTGTGATATATGAGATACTTACTCCTAAAAAATCTGCCATTGATGCCTTAATAACAAAAAGGTTTCCATATTAATTGAGGATGTTAATTTAAATTTATGGATCCTTAAATATTCTAGTTGAGAAAGCATCTGTTCCCCTCAGTACTGCCAGCTTTTTAGGGGCTCAAATGTCGTGCTTTTACTGACAATACTAAATATATTTTCTTGAATATAGGCTGATTTTTTAAAAGCAATGAGAAAGTGAATGGTGATTAGTCCTTAATCTAGACACGCATTTCTTTCCTCACCTTCTGGTACAAAGGCAAAAGCAACACAGCAAACACCCGCAATTAGAAATGAGACACACAAAGAAAGTCTTCTGCCAAATTTATCAGAGAAGATTGGTGTGACTGCATAAGCTGGAATCTCCACTGCTGCTACATACATGAAGTTTAAGTACTTGTTACTTCCAAATGATACAGCAGACAGTGACAATCCAATATACACAAAGGAGTTTGTGATCCTGTGTATTAAGAGAAAGTACAATCATCAGAATGGTGTATAAAATAACATACAATGACGTCACTCTTTTTCTATATGTATTAGTTCCATTTTGGAAGCATGTCAGTGATTGCAGCTTTGATATCTCTGGCAAGCATCAAACACTGATTCTTCTTGTATCTGTCATAATATTGATATGACTTTACTGTGTTTAAAAGAAATTCCATTACACTATTTATAGAAACGTTCTTGAATGACATCCAGTCTTTAATGAACCTTCATTACAGATTTTCACTCTGTTTCCTTTATGGGGAACGAACCATATCGGTTATGACCAAAAATGGGAACCGATTTTCAGAATTTGGTGTCAACTCCAAAACTAGGTACATGCTACACAATGAGGTTCTACATGGGGTGAAGTGAAAAGTTGAAAAATATTTCCTATTCTGTTGTAAATAGGACTCATCTAACCATTTGGCTACATTAAATGTGTAAATGCCTTTGAATCACCCACTTACATCTATAAGAAATGTCAAAAGTTTGGATATGGGCTTATTCGGCCATAACATGAACTACAAGGTGGTTCAAATATGACCAGGACTGATTTGTGTGTAAACAAGCCGCACTGCGCACCAGCCGTGCGACCTTGAGAGTGTGAAGCCACAACCTCCACCCTCCCTCCTGTTCGGGTTAGAACTTGTTCAGTCCTGTCTGGGAGTTGCTAAAGTGATGAGTGAACAGAAGGTACCGTGGAGCGTGGAACAACACATTGTGATCAAATTACTCGGAGAAAACGTCCCGTCCCCTGAAATTCACCACAGACTCCAACAACAGTATGGGGAAGAGTGTCTCTCATGGACCCGTGTGTTTGAGTGGTGTAACTGCTTCAGAGAGGGCAGAGAGCGCGTGGAGAATGAACTGCAGGATCATCAGCTGCGAACGTCCGTCACCGAGTCAAACACTGATCGTGCAGACGTGCTTATTCATGAGAATAGGCGCATCACTATCAAGGAACTTGGAGCAATGATGTCCATCAGTGTTGGTAGTGTAGAAGACATCGTGAAATACCACCTGCACTATCGCAAGGTGAATGCACGGTGGGTACCACGCACTTTGACGGACGTGAACAAAATGGTGCATATGCAAGCTGCCAGTTGTCTCCTACAGCAGTTTGAAGATGGTCATGCATTTTTGAAGTCTGCAGTGACGACCAATGAACGTGGGTGCACTACTTCATTTCCGAGTCCAAGCAGTCATCATGCGAGTGGCGGCATACCAGTTCTCCCAAACCCAAGAGAACGCGCAGGAGCCGTTCAGCAGGAAAAGTGATGGCAATATTCTTCTGGGAATGGCAGGGGGTTATCCATGTAGACTTTCTGACAGATGCCAGAACAGTCACTGCAGCTTATTACTCAGACCTCCTGGAAATAGACGTGAAGGAAAAGTTCCGATCCAAGCGGAAGACAGGTGGAAAGCGGGTATCCTTCCTTCAAGACAATGCACGCCCCCATATGGCCAAAACAACAATGAAAACCCTCTGGAAATTGAAACGGAACCTTCTGACACATCCGCTGTACAGTCCTGATTTGGCCCCAAATGATTTCTATCTGTTCGGAAGGCTCAAATCAGACTTGCAAGACATGCTGTTTGTGGAGGAGGCCATCATCCAGACTGTTTGGGAGTGGATACACCGCCAACCACAAGCCTTTTTCCCCAGAACGTTGGAAAAAATGTGTTGACCAGAGGGGAGTATGTTGAAGACTGACATGTGCAAGTTAGTGTTTGGCAATTACGGTTTTTAAAAAAAAAATCAGTCCTGGTCATATTTGAACCACCTTGTACATTACCAGTTTATTTCTAATATTAGGCAGCATATCTCAGTCTAAGACATGTGAAGAGGATCCTTGTGCTCAACAGGAAACTGTACGACAATATTGCAATCTCATCACAGTTCCATCTTCCAAAAAATTTGTAAAATTTTGACACAGAACACCATGACCTGAAAAATTTCAGCTACCATATTTTAAAAAGTGTCCACACTTACCAGCTGAAGGCACAATTAACCAGCCTGAACAGCAATATTTTTGATTTAAATACTTTCTTGAAAGCTTCGGAGTGAGATCTCTTCTGTACAGGCTGCTCCTGGAAGATATATAATATAATAAAACATCTACTGAAGGTTTCAATGGGGAGCATTGTATTTGAACACTAAATTTACAAAAATCTTACATGGAGGAAATTCAACACAAATTGTAGACTTTGGATCAGCGAAATTAAATGTTAAATGAACGCTAACCTTCAATGGAGGAACATTAAGCATAGTTGCATCAGCTTTATATCAGCATGTTTCATGAATTTATTCACACAGCTCTGAAGACACTGAACTCTTGACTGATAAGATTACTTGCATGACAAACAACTGGTCACTGCACTTGTGCCCCCCTATTTTTCTTTAAGGAAAGGGAAGTATGCTAACATTTACAGAAATATTAGTATTAAATTGAAGCATCATGTTGCACTGTGTAGATCTGACTTTGTGTTCTGCTTCTTTTTTGCCATCTATGTGCAACACTGGTTAATATTCTCTTGTCGTTTTCTCTTTATTGTCACTACATGTTTCGGCCTAACCGGCCATCATCAGGTGTACAGGTTGTTGTGATGAAGGATCATTACAGTCAGCAGCAGCAGTCCTGCACCACAATAACCTGTACACCTGATGATGGCTGGTTATGGCAAAACATGTAGTGACAATAAACAGAAAAATGATGTGACAATATTAACCAATGTTGCACACAGATGATGAAAAATGGAACGCAAAGTCAGACTGACAGAAATATTTCAAGCTTCAGAAAATTATACGTTATCAATTCTCTAACTTAAAACAAGCAACTTCAATTTCTGAAATGCTTTTCATTATCGTGGAAGAGGATCATATAACAGTCATGTTACCCATCTGTTTTAACAGAATTGTATCATCACTACAATTAAAAAAGATTTATAAAAAAAACTTTTTAAAAATGTAGCAGTCACTCACTTCTTCCGTCTTCTCTGAGATAGGTGATAATTCAAATTTGCTAAATTCATGATCAGACAGGGTTTTCCCATTTATTTTAGCTGCTTTCAACATAATTGCTTTAACTTCTGCGGTCCTTCCTTTGGACTGAAGCCACCTGACGGATTCTGGCAGGATCCTATAACACAGAATACGTAATGATCACAGAATACATTAAAACTTGACTGAAGATCTTAAAGAGTCTCACTTGTTGCTTACATTAAGATATTGTTGTAACAGAATCCCAAGAGGCCATGAACATTTCCCTATTTCCATTTCTGTTCAGCACAGATGTTCAAAACGACACTTTCCACAATTCATACACACCACATGCACTTATGATCCAAATTACATGTTCAAAATTTCATGCTAAAGGACATATATTTTCTTTTTCTGTATTTGTTTCATTGATCTCACAAATAATAGGCATAAAACAGTGTAGCTTCCTAATATAGACTGCCAGTCTTACAAATTGTGTACTGCTAAAGTCATGTTTAGGTAATGTTAACTTTATAATCCTAGAGTAAATTAGGATTTAATTCATGGGCTTGTGTGTGTGTGGAGGGCTCTTGTGAACATGGTAATGAACTTTCAGGTCCCATCAAATGTTGGGAAGTTCTTGAGTAACTGCATGACTGGCGGCTTCTCAAGAAGGCTGATAGTAACGCGATTCAATCCTAGCAGTCACATTCTGTACTGTTAGCAACTATAATAATAATAATAATAATAATGTTTTTTTTTTCCTTTCTTTTAGGGAAGAACTTATCACCTTTACAAATTCTGCCTGCATTGCTTTTTTTCAAACTTCACTTCAAAGCTTCTCACTGTCACCATATTTGTAACTGTTGACTTATGAACCATATTTTGTGCATAATTTGTTGCTATCTCTGTGTAAAATTATGAATGGCTATATTTTAAGATTACTAGGTTGGCCTGGAAAGATCAAGGAAAAATCTCGAAATGTCAGTCACAGTGGTTGACAGTAGATTTTATCCAACGATATCCCCTCCAAAAGCCAACCCTGGCATCCTCCTCACACAGGGGTAACATCTGAAAAGAGGGCAATGGTCCATCTAAGCCAAGGTGTGAGGCATCGTGTCATTGGGATGAAATTTAACCATTGTTGTTAAGGATCACCTCTGGGCACCGAGCAGCACCCAGCTGTATTCATGCCTTCCATCTGTATGGAGCGCTGCAAGTGGTGACCTTTTTGATACCCAATACAAGTGGGACCGTAAATGGCTATCAGTAGTAAAAACCCAGGTTCAAAGGACTTAAAAAAGGACTCCCTCCAAGGAGAAGCTGAGGGCATGCTGCAATCAATATAACCCAAAATCTAAAGGTTTTGGACATGCATACATGATGACTCAGGGCATGGAAAAATAACACATCCTGCAAATAGGGATTGACAGAATGAGACCAAGACATGTTTATGACAAACCTTTCAGTCAGATTCTCTGACAGAAGTAAATGGAAAAAGGGGGTCTAGCCTGGTAAGAAGGGAGGACTAATCTGGTATACAGATGGCTCCAAGACAGACAAAGGTACTGGGGCTGGTGTGTATGGTTATGGTACAAGGCAGAAGCTTAGCTTTAGCTTTGGGCAATACAGGCAGAAGAAGTGCATGCCATCAAGATATGCACAGTCGAGAATCTAGACAGGAAATATAGAAACATCTATCAAATAGTCAAGCTTCAATTAAAACACTTAACAATTACCAAATAAACTTGAAACTTGTCAGGGACTGGATGAAGAGAAACAACAAAAAATTCTAGGAATCCTTAACAGGACTCAGACAGGCAAAAGGGCTCATACAAGAACCCTTTGCCGGAAGACCCAAGGAAGGAACTGCTAAGTTTAAACAGAAATCAGTTATGGTGGATGGCAGGGCTACTTACAGGACACTGTCACCTAAAAGGACACTTTTTCAAAATGGAACGGACAGACAGTCCTATTTGCGAAAGATGCCTAAAAGAAGATCAAACAGCCACACACACCCTACGCGAGTGTGAGGCCATAGCTTATTTAAGGTTCTGTCGCCTGGGTGTTGTGTAATTCAATTCACATATGATAAAAGGCATAATGCTCATTCAAGATATAAATATGCCATATGAATGGTGTTAGGATACAGCAACCAAAAGATGGCCGATCCTGAAGTAATGAATTCAGCCTGTTCCATATCCTACACAAGATCTGTACCAGCGAAATTACACATTTAATGGTACTGAGACATGACGCCTGAAAGCCAGAATAGTGGAGACAGAGTGGAAGTCCACTGCTAGCCAAACACTTTTCCACAGTTTGGTAAGCAAGTTTCCGTGACAACAGACAGGCAACGGAGATTTTCCACGGTTGCTGGTAGACTATATAAGGTGCCATGCAGAGGAGAAGTCACCTGGACTGACAGAGGCCTTGCATGTATTGTACATAGAAGTAAGAATGAAGATTAAATTTGTAAATATATGTAAATACTGATGAGGAGCTTCATAACTTGTACTCTTCTCCAAGTATAATTAGAATGATCAAGTCAACGAGGATGAGATGGGCAGGGCGTGGAGCACGAATGGAGGACACAAAGAATGCGTAGAGGATATTGGTTGGAAAGCCAGAAGGAAAGAGACCAGTGGGAAGACGAAGGTGTAGGTGGGTGAACAATATTAAAATGGATCTCAGAGAGATGGGATGGTATGGATTGGCTTGATCTGGCTCAGGATAGGGACCAGTGGAGGGCACTTGTGAGCATGGTAATGAACCTTCGGGTTCCATAAAATGTTGGGAAATTCTTGAGTAGCTGCAGAATTGGCGGCTCCTACAGAAAGGCTCAGCTCCATGAATAAGTAAATACTGACAATGGACTTACTAATACGGACTATGACTGACAAATGACAGACCCGACCTCTCGTCAGAGAGGGTGCCCCAAATGGACAGGGCAGTAACTTTCATATAAGAAGAAACATCTGGTCATGAGCCTCAGCTGGGGCGCGACACCAAGACAGATTGACTGACCGTCAGTCGCAATGTGACTTTGACTTTGAGAAGTCAGTCGTAAGAGAGTTGAGTTTAGTCGCAAGTGATTCTTCATTCCTCATTCGTCACAGTGGAAGAGAAGACGCTCGTAGTCCAGTAAGGAATGGAGCGAGTCTTAAGCGGTCACTGATTGTGAGCTGTTATAATTGCTTGTAATTGTAACAGAAGGTGTCAATAAATCCAACCATCCGGCACTATGCTACAAGTCGGAAGGTCGCGGGTTCAAATACCGATGAGGTCACGGGATTTCTTTCAATTGACCTAATCCTTCTGGCCGCACTATGGCCCTGGGGTTCACTCAGCCTTTAACAGAAATGAGCACCAGGAACTAATTAGATAATTTTCCTGGGGAGTAAAGCGCCGCCGGCGCGTAAGGCTGACAACCTTACCGCCACCTTTGAGCCGATTACCTAGATAATGTGGGACCCTCAACGTCTCACAACCCTATGGGCCTTCATGGCCTGTTACAGGGGATAGCTTTACTTTTTTAATCCAATACAGAACCCGTTACTATTCGTCATGAACCCCTCATACGTGACAAAATGAAGAAAAATTATATACTGAAAACAGGCTTATGTGTGCTTCGAATTGGAGGTACAGTTTTCCCGCCGTGTTTAACGCATGCGACATGCGATTCCTACTCCTACACGTTTTCACTGAAATAGACATCGTCCTAAATAATGCATGTTGGCCTTTCTATCCAAGTCATGGGATTGGTCTGAAATATAACACACCTCTATCCTTGTCCCGAGTTTAGGGCATTCGCCCAGCTCATGCTGCACGCTTCGGTGAATGCAACATTTGAACAAGAGCCAATGACGTTGAAAGACGCAGTCATTCTTTGTTCCAACATATCATAAGAACAGTTTTTCTTTGTATTTCGCGCAGTTTCATGATACAGGTCCAGTCTCATAGAACTCAAAAGCCGTTCGTCGATATAGGCTTCATAATACACCTCGTGAAACAGATTCGTATAGAAATTGTAATTCTCATCCTCTGGAACTGATGGATACGTAAAAGAGCAGCGATTCTTGAGAAGGCCTGCAGCTTTCGTGTCTTACAATACAAATAGCTGTGCACATATTTAATTAGTGACAAGTTTAAACATGTTTATTTATGATGTAATAGGGCTCAATATTAGAATCGAGGAAAGACGCCATTAATCAACATAGTGGGCATTTGCATTTTGCATCCGTCTTCGAAGGATCTGGGGTTATAATACGGCTTTGCCCCCCTCCTCCCATTTCTTACGGGTTTTGCGACAGATCGTAAAACTTCCTCACTTCTTCCTCTTCACTTGGTATTAATATAAGAATCGCATTGGTTGTATATAATTCCAGAGAAAGCCATTCTTTCTTCCCTTCTCTCTCATATAACATTTTTGTAAGTTGAAAGCAGTGAAATTACGCAGCTTCGGGTTACCATAGCAACAATTTGTAGAGCGTTAACACGTGGCATGAACGTTATACGTGTATGTTTGGTAACGAAAGAGTGAGTGCTTGAGTTTATCGTGTCTATTCTGTGACAACTCATAACATATTGATGCAGGTATGTGAAGTGTAGTATATCATATTAAGGAGACGGTTTACGAATAATTATTTTGCGTGTTATTCGTGGGATATGGCGTTAAATGTCGACCTCGACGTATCATTCGATAACATGTAGCGCTGGAAATGAATACGGGAAGGTACGGAAGTATATACAAACATGATGAGACTCCCACTGAATTCGCAGCGGGTGTTACACTAGCCTTAATTTGTCACTGAAATTAATTACACGAAATAGTGATGTTGAGAAATCCGTGAAAGAAGGAATCGCCATTTAGTTCATACATATTAAAGCAATAATATTGCTGATATCGCAAAAATACCGTATTTACGCACGTATAGGCCGCTTGCGTGTATAGGCCGCAGCACACTTTTCAGACAGAAATTATAGAAAAAATAATTTTCTTGGAATATTATTTCAGGAGTAGAACACCCTGTATTACTAATTATGAATATAATTTTTTTTTAAATGAAGTGTGATTTCGAATATTTCGAATATAAGCCGCACCCCAGTTTTCCTCTTGAATTTTTGGCAAAAAATGTGCGGCCTATACATGCGTAAATACGGTACTTATGAACACTTAACGTTACTAATAAAAATGAAGGGATGTCTATATGAAGTCTCTAAACTATTCTACACATTCATTAAGAAATCAATTTTGTGCATGATGTTGACCATATCAGTGAAGTTTTACATAACTGGATACCGGTTTGTCGTGTCCGGTTGTTATGGCGACATCAGACAGGTCTTGCGCAAAGACAGTTCATTTTACTGAAGTCGCGCAAGCAGATGGTGCTAACCACCGGGCAGCAGATGGCTGAGTTAGCATACCGTCATTGCCACTGTGTGGTATATTTATTCTCAGAGTCGCGTGAGACTGAGGCTCCATTGTACTAGATGCAGATAACATATGAGAGAAACGGAGCATTTGGCGAAATGAGAATTGGCAAGGGGAAACAGAAATATTAGGATAAAAACTGCTCAAGTGCCACTCTGTCCACCACACATCCCACAATACCTAACCTGGGAGTAAACCCAGGTTGTCAATTGAGACATTTTATGGTGAACATAAAATGTACTAAGTGTTTAATGAATGATCACGCCATAAAGACGTGTGGGGGAGTGGACATATCTCTGGGCCATTCTTAACCTCGGCGCTTGATGAAGGTGAGTGGGCACACTGACGCCGCGGTCGCGTTACAGCTGAGAAATCGACTCAACACACCTGTCAGTATAGCCGAAAGCGACACTAGAAAATGCAGCATGCCTCCACATTTCTGTTTTTAACTGTTTATTTAACGGCTGTACAGGAAACATACCTTTCCACCGCACAGATCAGCGTCTTAAGGATCTTCATGGAGACAAATGTTGTTTATTCTCACGACTATACTAAGTATGGGGATATAGCTCAGTAGGTAGAGCACAGGGCTACTGGCTGGACGCCCCGGGTTCGATTTTGCATGATTTTCTCTTCTCCACAGCGCCCAGAACGGTTCTGCGGTCCACCAGGCCTCATATCCAATGGGTACCCCGGGATCTTTCCACAGAGGTAACGCGGTGGGGGCGTGAAGTTGGCCACTCACTACCATCTAGTGCCGAGGTCAAGAAGATTTAAGCTATATTTCCATTCACCATATGTCTTCACGGTCAGTCTTCACCGTCAGTAGCTCATATAGCGTCGAATGATATGACTGGTGGATAAGGAAGTAGCAGGTGTATGGAAGAAAACAGTCTCAGCCTGATTTGATGTACTATCAAGGCCTGTGCCTTGAGGGACTGAGTGAAACCACAAAAGCCGCCACCTCCCGAACATACGTCATAAATATTAGCGTCTGAACCAATTTTCTTGGTTATGTCGGTTCCCTTATATATACTTCATTACTTCCAACTTATCTCACTCACTCGCCAACTGTGCAGCTATTAAAGAATTTCCCAGCATTTTATTGAACCCGAAGGTTCATTACTGTGCTCACAAGAGGCCTCCAGAGGTTCCTATCCTAAGCCACATCAATCCAATCTATACCATCCTATCCTACTTAAGATCCATTTTAATATTGTCCATCCACCTATGTCTTGGTCTTCTCTGTGGTCTCTTTCCTTCTTGCTTTCCCATCAATATCCTATATGCATTCCTCTTCTCCCCAATTCGTGTTACACGCCCTGCCCATCTCATCCCCCTTTACTTGAGCATTCTAATTATACTTGGAAAAGAGTACAAGTTATGAAGCTCCTCATTATGCAGTTTCCTCCAACCTCCTGTCACTTCATCCCTCTTAGGTCCAAATATTCTCAACACCCTCAGTCTATGTTCCTCCCTCAAAATTCGTAATTATTACCCATTGTTCTCAACAACTAACTTAACACCGGTGTATCAATTAAATGTATAGTTTGAGATAGCTCAGTCAGTGCAATGACTAGGTTATACGTTCCACGGCCAGAGAATGTGCATTCGATTCCTGGCATTGAAAGATATTTATCTTTTATCCACATCAACTAATTTGGCTCTGATGTCCACCAAGCCTCATATCCACTGGATACTGGGCGTAAATATTCCGGGGGTTTAAGCTGACCACCCATCTCCATCTAATGTCGAGGTTAAGCATACATGGAGCAATATCTCCACTCTCCATATGTCTTCGTGGCATAGTGTTTAATTATGCCCAGGGACATTTTAACAAAGCTCGTTTCAACTTGTAATCTATTTCAAAACAATATGATTATCGCTATGATATTGCTTCATAAGCTGAGCTGGTTTGCTGGCTTGTGGCGGTAGCACTTTAAACATGAAGTAAGTAAGTAAGCACCGGGTTCGAACGTCGACCTGCTTACTGGATATCCTGCTTCCCCGAGAGAATACTGAATTAGTCAATTAAAACAAACCTTCCTTACCTATTTAACATTCAGAACTGTTCTCCCATCTCATTTGGGGCAACTGAAACAGCACCGTTGAGCAACAAATGAATAAACAGTTTTATAAAACTCGGTGGCCTGTAGTCCACAAGCGAACTATGCCGACCGAGCAACCGCCGCTTGTCGGGGAAGTTAGTGCCAACTTTTGCGGATAGTGTGTCACGTTGTCAGCGCAACGAATCCCCATGGCCGTTATTCTCGGTTTTCTAGACCGGAGCCGCTATTTCCTTGAAATAGCTCCTTAATTATCCTCACGAGGCTAAGTGGACCCCGTTCCAGACCCACTACTTCTCAGACAATCTGGTAGCGCCGGGAATCGACCCGGGGACCTCTAGAATCTTAGGTATGGACAATATAACGAATTCGTTGTAAGGCTTGTAAACTGTATCTCTACATTGTGACTGAGAGACACTTATCATTCTAGAGGATGTTTTTCAATCTGGTGTGCATAGCAGCCAGTCTTCTGTCCACATCCTTCTCAGTTTAAAATCTGTGGTCCTACAGCGCTCGAAACAGATGAAGCAGCAGTGAAACAAGTACGGGTAGACATAAAGTTGTCCTTGTGCTTAACTAATTAAGCACTAAGCCATGAAGACGTATGGGGGAGTGGACGTACATGTCCACGTTTTCTTGATTTCGGCAGTAGTTGGAGGTGAATGGTCAGCTTCACGCTCCGTCCGCTTTACCCGCTGAGAAAGAGCCCCAGGTACCCATTGGATAGGAGGCTGTGTAGGCCCCAGAGTCCGTCTGGAAGACATGAAAATGTGAAAATTCTTGTTCCCACCGGAACTGGATCTCCGATCCCTTGACCATCCAGCCCGTAGCCAGTGGCTATACCGACTAAACAATCGTATAGGACACTTTTATGAGGATCGGAGCCAGGATCAGCTCATCTTGGTGTACATGGGGATTATGCGTGAAAGACTACTATGACGTTACAGAAGAGTTTGTGAGTCAGTTCAAGATACAGGTCCTATGTAAACGTGCTTTCCGGCGGCGCTTCACAATGAGAGGCAGTTACTTAACGACAATGTCAAAACAAACCATATAGCAGCCAGTGATTAGATGGCAGAGGATAGCGTGCGGGAACGAATGCGAAGAGAGACACTACTAACCTGGCATTTGCCTACAAGGACCGAGGAAAAGTACGAGAAATCTCAAATTAGGATAGGAGGTACCCCGGCTGAGTTTTGAACGGGGTACAAGTCAGTATTGCTATGGCTTGTGCCAAACTGCTGGAAAGCACAGAGGTACTTACCAGTAGTACATGATGCAGATTAAACCTGGTGCATAAATGGCTTGCAATATCCGCCAGTTCTTCGACCACATGGCGACGGCTGACAGAAGAACCATGCCAGCCGAATAAAAGCAGCTGATAATAGATCCTCCAATGACTCGAGACCGTGGACCAACCAGCTCCAGGCCTATAACCACACAATATTTCATTATTACATGGGGTTTCCGAGCTCAAGCCCGTGGACAAACTAGCTCCATGCTTATAATCACACACACACACACACACACACAAACTCCAGTAATTTCAGTCCGCAAGTGAACCATACCGACCGAGCGACCGCCGCTTGTCGGCGAAGTTTAGCGCAAAATTTGCGGATAGAGGGTGTCGCGTGGTCTGCGCAACGAATCCCCACGGCCGTTAATTTCGGTTTTCTAAACCGGAGCCGCTATTTCCTTGAAATATCTCTTCAATTATCATCATGAGGCTGAGTGGACCCCGTTCAAGACCCACTACTTCTCCGAAAAAATGTGGTAGCGCCGGGAATCGAACCCGGACCTCTGGATCTGTAGCCAGGAAAGCTGCATTCCATTATTACATTGGGTTTCCGAACTAGAGCCCGTCGACCAACCAGCTCCATGCCTATAACCACATAACATTCCATTAAGCTGTATTCCACTTCAGTAACGCCAGTCTTCAGGCCAAGATTCGAACCCTGAACCTCCCAAATACCATGCACGTTAGCTACCCACTTGACTGCGTGGTTAGGTGGTTCGTATCGGTCATATTTCTCTCAGAACTATTTTAATATTATCCTCCCCTTTACTTCTAAGTCTAACCAAATAGTCTCTTCCCTTGATATCTGGCCGTGCCATAGCTCAGGCGGTTAGTCGCCAGCTTCCCAACGGGGCGGCCAGCGTTCGATCCCAAGTCAGGTCATGTGGGATTTGTGGTGGACGAAGTGGCATTGGGACAGATTTTCTCCCACTACTTCGGTTTCCATTGTCAATTTTCATTCCATCGACTGCTTCACACACACCATCATCTATCATCCGGGGCTGGTACAATTGGCCAATTAGTGGCCAACGTACCAAGTGGACTCAGTCTCACACCACCTCAAGAAATTAATTAGAATCCCTTGATGTTTTCTGACTGAAATTTTATATGCGCTTCTTGTCCCTCCCATGCGTGCTACGCGTCTCACATTTCATTCTCCTTCATGTCATTGCCGTATAATATTAATTGAAAGACTGTGACGCTCCAGATTATGTAATTTATCTGTTCTTGAAGAATGCCGTCTCCCTAACGCCGGTTTACATAATATCTACATAGCGCCACATCCCAGAAGGCATTCTTCAAAGTCACCGTCGTTAAAACCTCAAATCTGGCATATCTGTTGCGTGCTGTGATGTCCGGATATTCTCTGCAGCACTACTTATTGCGAAAATATTCAGCGTGTGTTGGCATCCTTTAGGATAAAGATCTACTGTATGTAAATAAATGCATAAACTTCGAAGCGAAAAGTCGAAGCATAATGATAACTATACCGCTGAACCCTCCACTATCACACATATGACATCTTATGCAAGTCGCTGAAGTATTCTCATGGTCTGTGACTATGATTACCACGATTTTGAGCACGTTTATTTCCTTTTCCTTTTCGTGCGCTTAATGACGTAATGTCTTTGTGTTGACGTTTGCTTGTTCATAGCTTCTGTTGAAGCCGACCCCATAACTGACAATTTCCCGTCATCGCATTGTACTGAAGCATCCGTGACGCTGAAGGTCGGCTTGCCCATGCATCATCGCAACACATGGCATGACAATATAGTTTTTTTCCATGCTTCCCTCTGTCAACGTTGTGAGCGCCATTGTGAACAAGATGGACGTCTAGAAGTAATTCGGCTTTGTGGATATCGTAATCAACGAGACACTGCGTGAATGGTGGATATGTGTTGGAAGAGGAATTTCAGGAAATACGGAATCTGCCACTCAAGGTCGGATTTAAGGGGGATGCACAGATGTTATCTATCTATGTCTGTCTGTCTATCTATCTATCTATGGCTCTACAGCCCTTTTGTTGGACCTTGACCGCTTTTCAGTCACTTGATCTTTTACACAATCGGTACGACTACTTGGACGGGGGATCAGCCCGTCACCTGCAGACGCTGGACAGCACAAACGAAGAATAAACACACACAGACATCCATGCCTTGAGTGGGATTTGAACCCGTGATCCCAGTGTTCGAGCAGAGGAAGACGGTTCATGCGTTACACCGCGCCGCCGCTGTGATTGATATCGAGACAGTGACTTCTCTAAAATCACGAAACGATTGTTTTTATTTTTCGTTACTATAAAGAATAAGAGGAAAAAAACTGTCATAACTTCAGCTTGTTTTTACCGATAGGTTCCTCAATATTTTTATTGCATCGGGACCCCCCGCAGCTGTTAATTCGGCCCTACTGTCACTCATGTGGATCCCTAATAGCTCCACTGTATGGCACTGTTCTCCACGCTTTCGTCTTGATGCATAGACGTCAATACATTGACTTATAGTCGGAAGAACGGTTACATTTTGTGTTTGTTCCAAACTGTCTAACCTGAAACATCTTGGTGGTGAGTATGGACCTCAGCACCTTGAAATCTAAGCGTATACAACTGTTCGGATAATTTTCAGTTGTGGTAGATGCTGGATTTAAAAAAATGCGACAGGGTTTCATTTTGTATATAAGTCAAAGGAGCGACGAAAGGAAGATTACAAAAAATGTCTGGGCGCCTCGACGCTGGTTTGGTTCAGTTTACACGCCAGCGGACTTTAACGGACTCGTACTTCCTGTACTCCTACACGGTTACAGCTGGCTTGAGAGAACTGTTGATGTTGGTTCATTATATTGACACGCTTATAGCACCGTCGATTCAGTCCCCAGAACCTTTTTATCTAAATAGGAGGGACAAAGGGACCCCAAAGACCACTTTACCAAACTAGTCCGTCTGTACTTGAAGCTTCATTCCCCTTTAAGGATTTTAGAACGGCCAATTCTGAAGTTGCTATTAGTGTGACTGCTGAAGCTTTTACTACTTCACTTCTTAGCACCCTAACATGTAAAAGCAACACAGCACGCTACGAACAAACATAGGACGACAACAAGAACTACCTTCCCAAGAAAGATAGGCTACACAAGTTGGGCCCCATCAAGAAAAACGAAAGGACAAGGGACACGAACCCATTCGGTTAAAGAATTTTAACTTAAATAACAAATTTTTTTAAAAAAACTTTAGTGCATCAAGGACAGTTGCTGTAGTTGTAAGAAATTTGGATTTTGTATAAAGTGTATATTACAAATGTTGTATATTCATGTATTTTAAAAATAAAAAAATCCCAATGTAATAGTAGTTTCTAAAAGTATTGATGTTCCTTCCGATGATGGTCTATAAGGACCGAAACATGTTAGGGTGCTAAGAGGTTAAGTAGTAAAAACTTCAACAGTCACACTGGACGGAATTGTTTTGTCATTTGTAATATTGTTAGTGTGACGGACCAGAATGAAACAAATCAAATTTGCTATTATTGGATAACAAACAACTCGTATTTATTTAAGTTTTGATGTTTTCACGGCGATGAATATGAAGAAAGTCGTCTTCTGGGTTTAGGCGCCGTGTATTCTTCGTTTTGGCCGACGTTTCGGAGGAACGTATCGCCTCCATCTTCAGAGCAGGTGAATGGCTTGGAATGCAGACAGCTACTGCTCTCTGCATTCCAAGCCATTCACCTGCTCTGAAGATGGAGGCGATACGTTCCTCCGAAACGTCGGCCAAAACGAAGAATACACGGCGCCTAAACCCAGAAGACGACTTTCTTCAACTCCTATTTATGTCTATATTTGCTTATATGATTACCATTCGATACTAGAAGGGATTTTTATGGAAAACCTTGACTGTGTATAGACGGGAATTGATTTAACGGGAATTCGGGCAAGTAAGAATCGGAAGAAGGTAAAGCTATCCCTGTAACTGCCTGTAGAGGGCCACAGGGTCGTGAGACGTCGAAGCTCCCACGTTTTCTAGACAGTCGGCTCACAGATGACAGTGAGGTTGTCAGCCTTCAGTGCCGGCTGCTCTTTACACCCCAGAAGATTTCTGGTACTCATTTCCGTTAGAGGCTGAGTCGACCTCAGGGCCATAGTGCAGCTGGGATTAGGTTATTCTAAAATTTCAATGACCTCATCGGGAATCGAACCAGCGACCTTCCGGCTTGTAGCACAGTGTCTCAAAAAACTACGCTATCGCGTGCCCCTTTGTATCCGTGTTGATAGTCAAAGTACAATTTCGAAACACTTTATGCACGCTGGTCGCCTGTTTTGTTAAACAAGTTATCACACACAACTGCTTATATGGCCACTCTGCATAATCTTATGTTGCTCATTAGGCGCATAAGTCGGGTCTGCCATTGTCTCTTTTCATTTCACAAGATGAGATGCTCAGCTATTTAACAAATGCAGTTGCAGGTACAGGCACTATACGACACGTCTGAAATTTCAATACCTACTGGTTCGGCAAGTAAATTTTAGGAAGTGACGTGTCAGGTTATTGGGCCTGGTTGGTCATTTTAATGATGTACAAGTTTGATGTGAGTCTGCATGTTATATTCTAAATGTATTTTTGCGACTTTCCGTTGCTCTTGATATTAATTTCTTTCGCATACGAAACGACAGCTGACACTCGCATTTAACAGTGCAACTAGTGATGAATTCTACAGTTCACAAAGTCAATTGACTGAATCAACTGCACAGATGCATAAAATTATGTGCAATTTATAGGTACACTACGTCAATGGCGTTTGAAATTACCCACTCGTATAGTGACGTTCCTTATATTTTCGTTATGTAATAACGTTTGTATGACGAGTTTTTTCGTGGGGGGGGGCCTTATAAGGTTATGTTTGGACCTCAGATACAGTTACAACAAACGGATGATGACGTGTGGGGAAGTGGATATATGGATCCAAGTATACTTTGATCTGGCCACTAGTTGGAGGTGATTGGTCACCTTCACGCCCCGGCCGATTTCGTTACCCACTGGATATGAGGTACATTGTACTGTGCACTGAAATAGCTGTATCTCGGAAACCGTTTGGAATAGGACTCATGTACATACACTTCTTTGCTTAGAATGACCGATAGTATGGCCTCCCAGAATACTGACCTTCCCTCCTGGGATATCCTGTATAGGACAGACGGGCTGTTCAGCTATTACCCTGGCCAAGAGGCTGGGCCGTGTAATCAGGGAGGCGCCTGAGATGCATCCCAACAACATGGCCGGGGACGGCGGTTTCTGCCTAAGCAAGTCAAGGAAACTTTTGTCTATGGCCTGAAAAAAACACTGTAAACCTTTCCCGTAGGATTTATTGTGACGTCGTTGCGAATAATAGCCCATAAGTTTGGGAAGCGTGTTCTTAATGTGGAATGCGCCACATTAACTAACGAACTCCGTGAGGCTGAGTCCTCGAGAGGCCAACAGTCGCTCAACTACTGAAGAATTTCCTAACATTTTACTGAACCCGAAGCTTAATAACCGCGTTCACAACAACCCTTCACTAGTCCATATTCTAAAGGCAGATAAATCCAGTATATACCACCCCTTCTTATTTCTTTAAGATCCATTTTAATAATATCCTCCCACCTACAACTGTATCCTCCTAGTGGTTTATTTCTTCTGGCTTTGCCATCAGTATCTATGGTCTAGTGGTCAGAGTTCCTGGCTACTGATCCAAAGGTCCGGGTTCCATTCCCGGCGCTACCAGATTTTCTGAGAAGCAGTGGGTCTGGAACGGGGTCCACTCAGCCTCGTGAGGATAATTAGGGAGCTATTTCAAGGAAATAGCGGCTCCGGTCTAGAAAACCGAAATTAACGGCCGTGGGGATTCGTTGCACTGACTATGCGACACCCTCTATCCGCTTAAGTTGGCACTAACTTCGCCGACAAGCGGCGGTCGCTCGGTCGGTACAGTTCACTTGCGGACTAAAACCACGGAGTTTGTTTAATTAGTATCTTGTATGCAATCCTCTTCTCTCCCATGCTTACTACTTGCCCTGCTTGATCATTCTGATTATATTCGGAATCATCAAGTCGAGGAGGATGAGATGGGAGGGCATGTAGTAGACTGATCTTTATACAGTACAGTGTGAGAGGATACGTGTCTTCGGAAAAGGGTACCTGGCTGTGTGACATTATATATAGCCATAAAGAGTAAATAGGCTTGCAAGAGCCATTTTGTGGGGAAGATGAGAGTTAATTTGATTATAAACATTTCTGTACATTACCTAGAACGAATCCAGAGTTGTAGATACCACCGCTAAACGCGGCGACAACGAACTCGAAGAACAGAAACGCCTCATAACACCAGGCCAAGGAACGCAGGACGCCCAGCAAGCACGTCACCACGATAGACACCAGCAGCGTCGTCTTTCTGCCAACTCTGTAATACAGACAAATAAAATGGATGTTCTCAAATGCTTTCGTAATCTTCAGTGTGGAAGTCTATTTCTTCTAGGAGTACAAGGAGCTCTGAGCAGAACTCCGTAACTGCTACTTTTCTACTACACAGAATCACATTCAAGAAATCTGCTATTTGTTATCTACCAGACAAGACGGCACCGATTCTTTTATGTTTATTTGGATACAGTGCCCTTTCATAACGGCGACTTTAATATTTAATATGTCTATCACTCATCGTCTATTACTTGTATATTAAAACAAACTCCATGGCCTGTAGTCCGCAAGCGAACTATACTGACCGAGCGACCGCCTCTTGTCGGCGAAGTTAGTGTCAACTTTAGCGGATAGAGAGTGTCACGTGGTCAGCACAACGGATTTCCACTGCCATTAATCTCGGTTTTCTAGACCAGAGCCGCTATCTCCTTCAAACAGCTCCTCAATTATCCTCACGAGGCTGAGTGGACCCCGTTTCAGACCCACTATTTCTCAAAATATCTGGTAGCGCCAGGAATCGAACCCGGGACCCCAGTATCTGTAGCGAGGAACTATGACCACTAGACCACAGAGGCGGTCAACAAACCACGGCAGCTTCTAAATTCTTAAGAGACATGACAGTCATGACCATGCAAACTCTGCAAACTCTGCACTTGAAACAGTGCCATTAACTAACCTAAGAAACAAACCTAACCTCTCAGTTCTCAAACGCCCTGACCTTCGCCAATTGCAAGTAAAGTCAGGAACCCAAGCCCCGCAGTTGGCAAACGACTAATGGGACACTTGCCAACAATACCTGATGAGTGATGAATAAGGCAAGGTAGTTATTAAACCCTCACATTTGTCTTGGATGCATGTCAGGTGGAACTGTTCTACGCAACTCTGCAGTGCACAGCCGTTCTTGAAAATTACTCAGCTGGTCATGAGGTCATCCATCTTTATAGTACTCTGAAGTTCATTGCTGCGTTCACAAAAGTCATGCATTCATATCCTGGGCAGTTCAATCTAGTTTCCCCACTACTGCCAACACAAATGGGAAAGAACTGAGCCCAACCCTAGATATAATATTGGCAGAATAATTTGGTGGACAACGGTGTAAATTAAAATAAAAGAGAAAGAATAAAGGGTCAGAGAAAACAATGAAAACATTCATATTACCTAAAGTGAGAAATCATTAAATATCTGTGGTTAACATGACACTGTTCTCAGACTTGTGGCTTGGATGTAACTCCAGTCACCTGGTCCCATTTCCTTCATATTAGCATACATACGTTAAGCAAGCGCCAAAAATAAGTTTATTTAACATAGTGACTAAAATGCTAGGAGATTAACATTTGCACACGTCAGCATTTTGTTCTCTGTTGTGTTGGAAGTATCTGTAACTTGATAATAGGACTGAGAGCTACGCATTTTGTTCTCTATTGTGCTGGAAGTATCTGTAACTTGATAATAGGACTGAGAGCTACGCATTTTGTTCTCTATTGTTTTGGAAGTATCTGTAACTTGATGATATGACTGAGAGCCATGCGCATTTTGTTCTCTGTTGTGTTGGAAGCATCTGTAACTTGATGATAGGACTGAGAGCTATGGATGTAGTTTCTCTTTGGTTGTACTAGAGTGATCTGTGATGTTCACAGACCAGTGGCCTCTAGGCCACTGACATATAACAACGTTGACTCAGTCTTTTTTTTTTTTTTGGCAATCCAGTTTCTGAGTAACAGCCCATCAACTGGCCACGTTCGGTCATAACAAGCTTAGTTACATATCATGAACACATGAATCGTAGGTAATTCAGCCCACTTCTATACGGTGTCATCATGCAAAAAGAGAATCAGCATCAAGTTACTTAGTCACATGTCTTTCAGGTTTTCTATATCTTTCAGAACACGGAATAAGTAAGAAGAGTACGTCTAACTTTATTGATTCTGGTCCATCACACTAGTCAATTATTATAAAATGATCTGACAACACCGTCTGGTGTGACTCAGTATTGTGACAGTCCAAACCTTTTACAATTCTCCATGGGACGCTATGGTCCTCTTTAGCCACTTCAGAAGGGTGACTGGTTTAATGGGGAGACCGATTTATTAGCATGTTATGACTTGCTTTTCCCATCTGGACAGAAACAACTGCCTTGTTTTGTTACCTGCATCTTAGGTGTCCGGAAAGGGACAAGGCTACCACGAGAGACAACTCTGTAGTTTGCCGAAGATGTAAATTTTGTCTTGCTGATAAGTGTAGCTGTCATAAAGGTGTCTTCGGAAGGGCGTAATTGGACCCTAAACTAAGAAATAACCGCTTTCACATGTGGGGTTCCGAGTTCTGTATCTTGGGATCTCTTTATTCTCAGGGTTCGTTATGTGATTGTCTAGTGCTGACTGCATGATGAATTTGACTAGTTAAAATCAGCCAATAGCAAACTACTCTTGTCTGGTAGAGAGGCCGTCGATTCAAATCCTTCACAGGGGATGAAGCGACGCTCCCGCAGGATAGGAGTCTTAAAAAACTTGGCGTTTTGAATTCATCGGAGGCAGAGGTCATTGGGCTACACTCCTCAAATTTATCTAAATTTATCAGTCTTAAAATTTGGTTCGATTAATCCTTGATAGTAATAAAGGGCCACATTACTCCGTGCTTGCTAATGAAGTTATAGTATTTCGCTTCTGAAATGAACAATTTGTGGAGAGTGGAAATCGTGTCGTTGATTTCTAACAGTGGACTGGCTTTAAGTGTGCAGTTTCCCGTTGCCTCAGTTATTACCGTAACGCGATCCTGATAAGAGTCAGATGGTCTACCGAAGCCGGCAAATAAGTACAAAGACAGAAAGGGGACGGTTACAGTATATATTTATTTATATAGCGCCTTTATATGGACCCATATGGTTGTGAGAGGTCTAGACTCCCACATCTTGTAGACAGTCGGCTCACAGATGGCAGTAAGGTTGTCAGCCTTACGAGCCGGCCGCCCTTTACCTCCCAGGAAGATTCCTGGTACTCATTTTTGTTAGACGCTGAGTCGACCCCAGGGCCATAATGCGGCTGGAGGGATTAGGGCAATTGAAAAATTCACTGACGTCATCGGGACTCGAACCCACGACCTTCAGACTTGTAGTATAGCGACTCAACCAACTACATTGCAGCGTGCCAATTATTATTATTATTATTATTATTATTATTGCAGTATATGGTTACGTGTACACCCATTGCTAGGGAACGAGTGGTAAACAAATTACCGCGAAGACATCGTCTTCTATGCGGTCGGTGTCGTATCAAAGGGGAGTAGGGGATTAATTCTTCCCAGAACTTCTTGGTCATTCTCAGCAGAATGAGCAATGGATTTGGAGGAGTCCACTGATATAAAGTTCGTAAGGTGTGTATGGTCAGTGGGGGAGGAGGCTTTGTTACAGTACACCCTCTCCCTCTCACCCACAATGTAGAGCAACCACTGCCAAGCTACTTCTTGCCTTCTCACTTCTCTCCAAAAATAAATTCTGCTCTAAGAGCACGGCCTGCAGATATGGCGATGGCATTGAAATTTATGTTAAGAAATGTGATGTGATAATGTGGCGTGGATTCATCTGGCTCAGGATCATCGCGATCGAGTAGGTAGCATTCCTGTTTCAAAATAAAGAGATCCCGCATACGAGTATGTTGGGATAGTACCTCGATATAGGCCATGATCGCTTCCTCTGGTATCCTTTCTAGTTCACTAATCACTAATCCTATCATTCGATGCTACATAGCCCCAGCTACTGACAGGCAGCGTAGTCAGTATAGCGACTGACTACGGGCTGGACGACTGAGGGTCGGAGTTCGAGTCCCGGTAGGGTCAAGATTTTCTCTTCTCCAACTCGTCAAGACCGACTCCGGGGTCCACCCGACCTCCTATCCAATGGGTACCGGGGGCTCTTACCCCGGGGATAAAAAGGCAGGAGCGTGAAGATGACGACTCACCTCCAGCTAGTGCCGAGGTCAAGAAAATGTGGATCTATACATCCACTTCCCCATACTTCTTCGTGGTGTAGTGCTTAATTAGTTAAGCACAGAGACAACTTTACCCTTTTACTCACATCATGGTCAAATAAATCTTAACTTGCAAAAAATAAGGTTCAATGGCGGACTCTTGTGAACACTATAAAAACCTTTGGGTTTACTAAAATGCGGGAGATTTCTAGGCCAGCTGAGACTCTACCCTCTGTTCAAGCACTTAGCTCCATGACATCTGTTGGTAAGCTGTCTAGTGACAGACCTAAGCAAACGCGCTTATCTCCTTTCCAGGAACTCCGCCATTACAATTTTGATCCGTTGAAACACGACTCTTTTTCAGATGAATCCAACTGCCAGTCCTTTTGAACGGAAATGAATGTTATAAAACCTGGGCCCTCGACGCTATATAATGAAACGAGGGCCATATACACATTATTAGCACAACCGGGCGTCCCCCCACCCCACCCCCCGGAAGCACACACACAACTTCCAGTAACTCGGGGAGGAAGTACCCAGTGTGAAGAGTGTACCCATAGCTCACTGATCCTTGATCCTTAGGTTATTTAACATAGCTGTATCAACTTCATAACTTGTAAAACGTAGCATGTGATCAAATGTGTAAGGATTTGACTGTAGCCTACTGAAAGATACTCTCAGGACATCCCACAGAGACTGAGTAAAACAACCCTTGTCAGGAAAGCAAATAACATTCGAACACGAACTTCCAGAATAAAGCCTAACGCGTTACCGCTACACCGCTAGAATAAAGTGGTTTTAGTTCAAATCATTCCGCGCGTTATTAATCTACAGACTGTGCTTTGTTTGTCAGCTGATTCGTGAGACTCAAAGTGTACCTGCAGACTCAGTATGGGGTAGTGCTTGAATACATTACAATAGGAGCAGGAATCGACCATTCTAATTTATAATTTACGTTACTGTATTGTTTAATTATTAATTTATATTGTATTATTTAATTAATTTGTATTCCTAATTTTTTTTCCCTTGGCACTACAGCCCCAGTGGGCCTAGGCCTACTACCATGAACTTCTCCGTTCACTTCGGTTTTTCTAGAACTTAGTCACACGGTAGGACTCCTTGGGCGGGTGATCAGCTCGTCGCAAGGCCTCTACCTGTACACAAACACAGAAAAACGCACACACACAAACTAAACATCCATGCCCTGAGAGGGATTCGCAACCACGATCCCGGTTTCCAAGCGAGCGAAGACAGCACATGCCTTAGACCGCTCGGCTACCGTGACCGGCTTGTATTCCTGATACTGTCATTAAATCGACAACAGAAGTGTTCTTTGGGAGTCTGTTTCAATCATAAACCATTATTAGACATTCCTGAGTTATTTAATCCTGTAAGATACATGCATATGTTCACAATTACAAAAACAGCATAAAGTTAGACCAGAATGTAATTTTCTAGTTAAAGATACAATAAAACAGAGGATGAAATTTTTGCATACCTGTATATAGGACCTAATATTGTATAAGTATACATATTTCATATAAAGAAAAGCATAAATTTGGAAAAAGTAGTGCTGCTACGCATGCAATGCTAAAATCCAAAATTTACTGAAACCTGGCACTGCACAAGAAAACAGTGTCGATCCCTGTAGAATCTTCATTATCTCAGTTCCAATAATAGAAGTACTTACCTGTCGGAAAAGTAGCCAGCAACTGGAAAACCGACAAACTGTCCAATGTTATTTACAGTTCCCACAATCGTTAACCTCCACTGTTTCTCAAAACAGGAGGTAAACTTCCACTGAAAAGAAAACAGGAAAATAAACGTTAAAAATGGCTGATATATGAACAATGAAATGCAATATTCCGAATCACATGATTTTCTTCATTCATTCCAGAGGCGTCAGATTACTAAATTTCATGTGGAGACTTTTAGACAGGCAAACAATTTGGGGGCGACTCTCCCTTTTACTCCCCCCCAAACTCACAGCGTCCATAATCCTCCTTTATTGCGCCCTATTTCCATAACAGATGATAAGAATGGTCTGACAGCTAAAAATCTAAACACGTATAACTCCTAGTATATTAAAATATATAATATTCCAACACATACACCACCTGCAAATTACGTATTGCAATTACTTAATCCTTTTTAAAGTGGTATGGATGAAGTAATGGGAGGCGCGGTAGCATAGTTGGTTAAGGCACTATGCTACAAGCCGGAAGGTCGCGGGTTCAAGTCCCGATGAGGTCATTGGATTTTTTTTTCAATTTATCTAATCCTTCCGGCCACACTATGGCCCTGGGGTCGACTCAGCCTCTAACAGAAATGAGTACCAGGAATTAATTAAATAATTTTCCTGGGGAGTAAAGCGCGGCCGGCGCGTAAGGCTGACAACCTTACTGAGCCGATTGTCTAGAAAATGTGGGACCCTCAACGTCTCACAACCCTATGGGCCTTCACGGCCTGTTACAGGGATAGCTTACTTTTTTTTTTACTTTTATGGCTTGGGATTATTACATAATGATCTATCTATCTATCTATCTATCTGTGACTCTGCATCCCTTGTGGACCTTAGCCGCTTTTTCAGTTTCTTAATCTATACAGTCAGTATGACTTCTTGGACGGGGATCAGCCCGTCGCAAGGCCGCTACCTACACAAAGAACAAGACCAACACAGAATAAACACACACAGCCATCCATGTGTCCAGTGGGATTCGAACCCACGTTCCAAGAGTTCGAAAGGGCGAAGACTGTTCATGCCTTAGACTGCTCGGCCACTGTGACCGGCATTACAAAATGACAGACTTCTTAATTCATACACGTCATTTACTAGGCCTGTATTTGGCACTGAAAGCTATAAGTTACATTGCACTGGGAATGTGGCTAAAACGAGGAAGAAAACAATATGACCGGTAGGCATATAGAATTTTAGTGGGAAAAGTCCTTGGAAAATGGCTAATCAGAAGGCCGAAGAGATGAATGGGCAGCTTCAAGACGAATCACAGGAAAACAAGTTGTTACAATAGCTGTGGGTCAAACGGCAGACTTTGATATTAGCGGCATCGCTCCATCGTTTTCTTCTACCAGATGAAGAATCTCCATTTTTAGAAGCCATTGCTAGGGAACGACTGTTGTAAACACTGCAGGTTGGAGAAGACTTAACGTGTAGTGATTTGTAAATTGTGGAGACCAGCGGTAAGGCTGTTAATTACTTGTAGTTCTGAGTTGCGTAGTGTGGTCAATAAATACATACCCCGTCTGTAGTCACACACACAAATCGTGATAGTGCTCAGAATATTGCAGGCAGTGCTCTTTCTTTGCACTAAACTTATACGTTAAGAGTCACATACCCGTAAACAGCTACCTCAAATAGAAACAAGTTTAACATATCCCGTTAGTAATCTACCTAGACGAAGGCAGACTGCAGATGTGGGGATTAGGTTGCTAGTGACAACGCTTCCCACCCCACGGACATCCTAGGTATACATCGCAACAATGTTGCAGCAGGCCTATATGCAGCAGTCCGTTTTTCACGTCGGGCAGTTCATAGGGCAGGGGTGAGAAACTTAATTTAGCTGCCGGATCAGAGAGCAGGGAGGTAATCTTTAGGGGCCACAAGTCTTTATCGGTGTAAAATTGTAAATGCTCAGTTCGCATTAGTTACAAGGTTTAAATACAAAACTGTTTTCGAAGTGTCCCTTTCCTTAATACTGTTTTAACCTTATGACTAATTAGCCTGGAAGTAGGCTTATGCGATCTCCTTCCAGTCTGTGTGTGTCTGTTCCCCCATATCAACTTTTGAAGGGCCGAACAAATCTCTGTGAAACTGGGTATGTTTATCAAGGCACCCCAGTCCATCTCAACGGCGTACTTAATAAAATTCCTCCCATCAGTCTATGTGTCTCTATGTGCAGCTCTCTATCGTTGCTAGGCTACAGCTCGGCAAAAACATTACCGTGGCAACGAATACAAACGCAAACAAAGAACAATTATTGGACGCATCGTTTTCTATGCGGTCCATGTTGTATCAAAGTCGATTAGTTCTTCCCAGAGCTTCTTGGACTTCCACACTGCCTATTTTCAGTGTTTCTCCTTTTTCCTCCTTATTCTCTTAAACCGTCTTCCTTTTTGAGACCTTGAAAAATTTTCAGAACCAAACTATCGTTGAACTTAATAACACAGGCTTAACGAACCGATCACAGTAGCCGAACGGCTTGAGGCGCTCAAACACTCGAACTTCGGGCCCGAATCCCATTCGAGGAATGGGTGTACGAGTATATCCTCGTTTTTAGACTACTTTCCCAATTAAAAAAAACAGAAGTAGGCTTATGAGATCACCTTGGTGTCTGTATATGTATATTCCCCCACCGTTGCTAGGTAACGACTACTTAAACACTTTCCAGCGTCAGCGAATACACAAGCAACGATAGAAGTTTTGTTGGATGCGTCGTTTTCTATGCAGAGTAGTGTATGATGGGAAAGTAGGCGGTTTGTTCTTCCCAGAACATCTTGTTAAATTATAGTGACAATCAGTAGAGTGACTCTCGAAGGGGGTTGGATTGGTGAATGGACTTAATGACCACTTACAAGTCGTCACTACAAATAGGTATAACACTATCGTTGATCTTCACACTTTACAAACAACTACACGCTAAGTCTTCTTCGGCCTGCAGTGTCTTCACTAGAAATTTCCTGGTAACGGCTACAACAATGGCTGTTCCATTATTGTAGTCCAACTATTGCATTATTAAAAATCTGCTGCCTAGCAACGGGAGCGTGTTTACCGAGCCCTTTCCCAGAAACGACCCTGGTATATCGTCAATCTCGCGGTCGTTGCATAGCAACGGCTCCACACGCTACAATATTTATTACGTAAGTGCGCACAGGAAACACACACAATAGTTCCAGTATGTTTTGTTGCTGTTTTAATGCTGGTTCCAAAATGTTGTCGCGCCGACTTTTGACATCCCTGTTAGAGGGATGCTGTCAGATAGAGATCCCCAACAGTTTGAAGCCAAGAATGATTTATACTTTAATTACAATTGGCCTTTCAGAATCAACCCCATGTGCCAGCTCTGAAGGGGAACAATTCTGAATAAAGGGCAGGCTGGTAGAAGGAAGCAGGAACCCCCCCACACAGTGGCAGTAACTATAAATAGTTCCCTCCCGAAGCGAAGCTTAAGGCGCTCAATACTGGACTGATTTTACCGATTCCATTGCAGAGTCTCCACGTATTGAGACATCCAGCTCATTACGAATAATGGGGAAACGGTGCCCGCACTTCTGGTTGCTGGTCAAAACTCCGAAACGACTAAATGGATTTCGATAAAGTTATATACTGGGAGATCAACATCAAAAGTCGTCTCACGAATTTAATCTTCGTTCATATTCGTCGAACAAGCAATAGAAACACATCAAGAACTGGGGAGCCAGAGAAACCGCCACTGATGGGCAACGGCTGGGTAACACGCAAAAATACCAGCGCCCTCGTTAGGCAACGTAAGCACGGAACAATGGAATAACTGTTGGAAGCGATGTTTCCTATGCGGTCGGTGCCAAGGCTACATAAGTAGTCGACTGAAAGCCGCTACCAGGAAACGTGACTGAGAATACCAGTCTGTGACAGTGATCTGTGAAATACAGTCACGAGCTTTAAAAGTGTTCAATAAATCCAATTACCAATTCAAACCCCGTCTATAGTCATTCGAACACGTGAAAGTATTTTAGATGAAGCTCAAACTGGACTTCATCATTGTTCCGGGAAGCCGCTCATCCTACAGAGTTCTACTGTGGCCTGTGGTCCGCTAGCGAACTATACCGACCGAGCGATCGCCGCTTGTCGGCGAAGTCAGCGCCAAATTTTACGGATTGAGGGTGTCGCGTGGTCAGCACAACGAATCCCCACGGCCGTTAATCTCGGTTTCCTTGACCGGAGCCGCTATTTCCTTGAAACAGCTCCTCAATTATCCTCACGAGGCTGAGTGGACACCGTTCCAGACCCACTACTTCTCAGGAAATCAGGTAGCGCCGGGAATCGAATCCGGACCTCCGGATCTCTAGCCAGGAACGCTGACCACTAGACCACAGAGGCTGTGGTCTACTATACGAAATATAAACTCGACTGCCATCTACAACTCTATCTGAAGTACTGTTCTGTATGATCACGTGTGCACAGTGCCGGTTGATCCGAAAATCTGGGTTCTACTCCCGGAGGGGACGGAGATTTTTCTGTTTGTCACCGCGACCAGACTGGCTCTGGCGCCCACCCAGTCTTCATGCAGTGGGTACTTAGGGCACTTTTCCTAGGGTTAAGAGTCACCTCTGCTAGCGCCAAAATTCATGAAAGAATGGGGCTATGCGTCGCCACGGCGCGGTGCTTATTAAAACACAGAGACAACTTTATCTGTCTCTTACAAGAGCAAATATTTTCCGAGTCTATGAAGTGTGATTAGCTTTGCACAACAGTCAGTAAAGAGGTCACAAATGGAAGTAAAACAGCTGTAATGGATGTAATAGGTTTTCTATGTGTATCACTAGGTGGCGGGGGCGCGCGGTAGCGTAGTTGGTTGCGGCACTATGCTACAAGCCGAAAGTTCGCAGGTTCAAGTCCCGAAGAGGTCATTGGATTTTTCCAATTGACATAATCCTTCCAGCCGCACTATGGCCCTGGGGTCGACTCAGCCTCTAACAGAAACGAGTACCAGGAATATTCTTTGAATATTCTTGGGAGTATTAACATATTTTTATTACTAGTGGGGTGGGGCTAAGTCCCTTGTACTGCGGCCACTTCTGGCCTCTTGTACCAGCCCCAGATGATAGGTGAGGGTGATTGTGGAGCAATTGGTGGAATGAAGATTGACAAGGGAAACCGAAGTACTCTGAGAAAACCTGGCCCAGCGCCAGTTTTCCACCTCAAATCCCACTTGACCAGACCCGGGATCGAACCCGGGCCGCCGCGGTGGTAAGCCAGCGACTAACCGCTTGAGCTATGGCGCGGTCTACTTTTATCACTAGGTAGCAGCACAGTCCATGCGCATGCGCATGTTCAGAAGCTTGTTTCAGTAGTCAAATTGGCGACCATGCTTGAGGAGTGTATTACCGAAGAGCAGTGTTCTGTTGTGTATATTTTTTGTGAGCCATTTCTGACCTATTTACTGTCTTTCCTTCATAATAACTGATTTTTATGTGCAGTAAATTATCATCAGCGCCAGTGATGTATGCTCTGCACTCTCATTCAGTGTGTTAGAACACATGGAAGGCGGTATCATAATACTGCAATAACTGCTAGGAAGATTTCGGTGCTGAATATTTCGAACTCTTTGGACGGTTCAAGGTGTTACGCCAGACTTTCCCAGTGCACGGACTGCAGGTTGAACAAAGGCCGGGATTCAATCCCATGCAATTCACTGGGAATTTGGGGTTGGTGACATGAGGGCGCTATCTTCTCAAAGAACTTCAATGTTTCCCTGTCTTTTATATTATTCCAGTAACCCTCCACACTTTGTACATCTGAGACCGAAGTACCTAGGCACTGAAATTTCACTTCAATCCTCCAGCCAAGAATACGTTTTTTGGCGCATTCTTTAACAGAAAACTTACCTCGTTCGCAATAGTCCATTCTTCTGTATCGAACACCCAATCCTGACATTTGACTGTGGTGGTGTTAACAAATATATCTGGTGAGCAGAAGGTGTTGTTGTTTGTCGGAGAGCCACTGGCGGATGATGTATTCCGTGCCAGGTATCTCTCACAAGAGCTAGGCTTGCCATCCAGATATGGTACAGCGCCACGTAGCCATTCGGGTTGATATAACGCTCCGTCAGCATCGCATTCAGGGATATGGCACCTGCAAACATATCACACAACAATTCAAAATGATTATGCAGCTGTAGTCTTCAAACTCATTCCATGGAGTAGCAAACAGGCGCACATCTGTTTCATTACCTTATTAACAACATATCACTACTGGACCACGAGTCAACTAAACTGAGTCCACGCCATCAAGCCCTAAATGTATAATTTCTTTCTTTCGTTTCAATGCTAGTGGGATGGGACTACGTTCCCTGCACTGCGGCCACTTCGTGAGGGTGATTGTGGAGCAATTGGTGGAATGAAGATTGGCAGGAGAAACCGAAGTACTCGGAGAAAACCTGCCCCAGCGCCACTTTGTTCACCAAAAATCCCACTTGACCAGACCCGGGATCGAACCCGGGACGCCGCGGTGGGAAGCCAGCGACTAACCGCTTGAGCTATGGGGCGGTCGTAATTACGTACTCATGGAGCTGAGCCTTTCTTGAGGAGCCTCTAATTCTGCAGATGCTCAAGAATTTCCCAGCATTTTATGGAACCGTGTTCACAAAAGCCCTCAACTGGTCCCTGTCCTGGGCCAGATCAATCAAATCCATAGCTTCCCACCCTATCTCTCTCTAATATCCATTCTAATATTGTCCACCCAAATACGCCTTGGTCTTCCCAGTGTTCTCTTTCCTTCCGGCTTTCCCAACAATATCCTATATGCATCCCTCTTCTCTCCATTCGTGTTACATGCCCTACCCACCGTATCCTCCTTGACTTGATAATTCTGATTATAATTGGAGAAGAATACGAGTTATGAAGATCATCATTCTGCAGTTTTCTCCAACCTCCTGTCACTTCACTTCTCTTCGGTCCAAATATTCTCAACACCCTGTATATAATAACCATTTTAATATTATCCTCACATCTGCCCTTAGGTTTTATCTACTCCCTTCAGCACTCAATGGAAGATCGCATTTTCAATAGCTTGTAACCAATTTCACTCGCCGACACACATTCATTTGTCCAGATTATGTTGTAGTAAGTCTCCTTACATGAGCCGGAATGGCTCACTCAGTGGGCCTGACGTCTAGGATTCGATTTCCGGTAGAGGAAGGGATTTTACTTTTTGCCACCACCGCATCCGAATTGGTTCTTTCCAGGAGGCAAAGCGGCCGAAGCGAGAATTTGGCCATTCAACGCCATCTGGTGCCGAAGTTAAGAGAGCCAGACGCCGAAGTACAGACACAGTTTTGCCATTACCTTTACAGACAACGTACTGCTTCATTGCCTCGCTGCTGGAAGGAGTCACTGTATCTGTTTACGAAAAGGGCGATAACACTAACTGCAGTAATGTCGAGGCATATCACTGTTACCAATTTCATAAAAAAAATTAGCAAACATTCTTCTCTCAGAGTTAACTCCAATTTGGGATCATCAATGTGGGTTTCAACACAACAGATGTTATCCATCCGTTATTCCACCCATCCATCGTCCTTGTGGACTTCAGCCGCTTTTTGAGTTTCACAGAAAATCTGGTAGCGCCGGGAATCGAACCCGGACCTCTGGATCTATAGCCAGGAACTCTGACCACTATACCACAGAAAATTTTTCCTGCAGTTGTGTATGGGTGCTGAAGACAGAGAATACCTCAGTGTGGATCTCCACAACTCGTACCCGTTGCCACATACTACTACGATGATAAGATGTATAGGACATACGGCATGCATGGGAAAGAAGTGTATACAAAGATTTGATCTAAGGAAAACACACCACTAGGAACATGTAGACGTAGATAGGAGGATAATATTAAAATGGACATTAAAGGAATCGTATGTGAGGTTGCAGACTGAATCCATGTGGCTCATGACAGGGATCAATTGTGGGCTCTTGTGAACACGGTAATGAACCTTCGTGTTCGGTAACGTACTGGGAATGTACTGAGTGGCTGAGTAACTATTGGCTTCAGAGTTAGCTAGTTTATACAGTACAGTAAAAGTGACAACATCACTGAGCTGTGAGGATGCCTATCTGCAAATCAATAACCGGCTCGCGTGAAGACATTACTCATATTGTACTTACTGTCGCAAATTAAACGTTTCACAACATCATTCCTCCTACGTCCCGGACTGCATTGGGTCGAAATCGAGAATACTCGGTTGCCGAGGTTATTCACTGACGGGCTGTTCGACGTAATTTGAACGTACGGATGAGAACAGTAACACTGAACGCAAAGACTGAATTCTTAACAGTGGTGTTTTGTCTTGAGGAAGGTCGAGTATCAAACCAGAGACCGGTTGTCCTGAGATTTTACTATGTACCTATGGTTTTTATTTATTTTTTTAATTCGCATAGTGGGGGGAGGAGTCCAGCTGGGTCCACCCGGCACGTCGGCCACGAAATGGCTTACTGTACCTGCCCCGGGTAATTATGATTGTGGAAAAATTGGTGGAATGAGAATTGGCAGGGGAAACCTAAATACTCTGAGAAAACCTGCCCCAACGCCACTTTGTCCACCACAAATCCTACTTGACTAGACCCGTTCTCGAACCCGGGCCGCCGCGGTGGGAAGCCAGCGACTAACCGCTTGAGCTATTGCGCGGCCATGTACCTATTGTTACTGAAGGGCCGGGAGAGCTCAGTCGGTATAGCGACTGGCTACGGGCTGGACGACCGAAGGGTCGGAGTTCGACTCTCGGTGGGGGGTCAAGAACATTCAATTCTCCATGTCGTTCAGACCGGCTCTGGGACCCATCCAGCCTCCTATCCAATGGGTACAAAGAGGCTGGGGCGTGAAGCTCACCTACTCACCTCTAACTAGTGCCGAGGTCAAGAAAACGTGGACATATATACATCCACTCCCCCATATGCCTTCATGGCATAGTGCTTAATTAGTTAAGCACAGGGACGACTTTACCTCTTTTTACGGATGGTTCTTGAATTCAAATTCAGCAATTTATAATCACATCCTATTGAAGCATCACGAAAAAGCATTGAAGCTAGAGTTTATAGAACCGTTGTCTTTCTGTAGAGCAGAAAGAATGCTCTAGTTCTCCACACTTGAAGGTCTTCTGATTATGTCTTAAGTGATATCCTTGTGATCGAAGTAATGATGACGCTATACAAACACCAACATACGAGGACCATCCTCTTATCTAAACGACTGTCCCTGTACGTCATAACGGCGTACAGGCAAAATGGAGGTACAGCTTCACACCTAAACATCGGTACTACACGGAGGTAAATTTCCACACAGTTAAGCAGCAGGTAGACCTCAGAGGCGGTCAGTTGATGGCGCCGAGGAAGGCAACCCGAACCTCTCAGGCCAGTAGGATAAATTAAATACGCTCTACGGCCTCTCATCAAACGCACACAGACCACAGCAGCCTTAAGTACAACGGAAATGTTTAACAAGAGGTTCCATGATGCCTACTTTCACACTGCATATATTTCTAGTCCGCAGCCGAGACAGCGTCGTCGGTATAGCGACTGGATATGGGCTGGAGTTCGAGTCCCAGTAGGGTTTAGATTTTTGTCTTCTCCACGTCGTCCAGGCCGGCTCTGGGGTCCACCCAACCTCCTATCCAATGGGTACTGTGGTCTCTTTCCCCGAGGGTAATGCGGCCGGGGCGTAAAGCTGACCATTCAACCCCAACTACACGTACCTACCGAAGTCAATAATGCTTGGATCTATACATACACTCTTTCATACGCCTTCATGGCGTAGTGCTTAATTAGATGAGAACGGAGACAACTTTATCTTTCAAACTTATTAACTCTCCCAGCTCACAAGTTCGTGTGTCCATTATGTTCTTATTACTGGCTGTAGGAAGTTAAAGGTACGATGTTTGAAACGATCTGGACATACATAACATGGTAAGAATTTTCGTGAGTCCGTTGGTTCAAAGGATGAGACTCCTCTCCTGTGGGTTCGATACTGGGAGGGGGGGGGGCAACGTGTGAATCATCCGAGAGTAGAAGACGCCGAAAATTTGTTTGTTGCGTCGCGACAGAAACGTCTGAAACCTACTATACCTTAAATAGATGAAAGGATACTGGAGGAAACGATAGCTGTCAGCAATTTTATTTTATTTTTTCTTAATTTTCTGGGGTGGGGTGAGACTTGAGTCCACTTGTTACGCCGGTCACTAATTGGCCTATTGTACCAGCCCCGGACGATAGATGATGAGTGTGGAGCAGTCGTTGGAATGAGAATTGGCTGGGGAAAACCTGCCCCAGTGCCACTCTCTCCATCACGAATTCCACATGGTCCGAACTGCGATCGAACACGGGCCGCCGTGGTGGGAAGCCGGCGACTAACCGTATGATCTATATATAGCATGGCATACAGCTGTCAGTAAGTCATGATAAACCGGCGAACCCTGTTCTATATACATTCGTATTCCTGAATTGCTCTTATCAGCCATAAACACTACAAGCAGCAAGAAATAGGTCACTTTGTTGCTACACTATTACAACACACATTCCTGGTATTGCGTACATACGTATTTTTTTTTATGCAGTGCTTCTACTAAGAAAAACAAGTTTTGTTCTCTCTGCAAGGAGACAGAGAACATTTGAATTCAGACACACACCCACGTATGTTGTACTGAAAGGGTGGCAAAATTCGTTCACATCGAAATATTTGTCTTGCCTAGTTCTTATGTTAATCTAAGGAGAATGTTAAGAAATTATTATTATTATTATTATTATTATTTGGCCGCTGGGCTGTTAAGTTATTGCACGTAAATAAACATGAATTGAATTGAATTGAATTGAATTGAATTATTATTATTATTATTATTACGGGGACACGCGGTAGCATAGTTGTTTGAGGAACTGTGCTACAAGCCGGAAGGTGGTGGGTTCGACTCCCGATGGGGTCACTGGATTTCTTCAATTGACCTAATCCTTCCAGCCGCACTTGGTCCTGTGATCGACTCAGCATCTAACAGAAATGAGCACCAGGAATCTTCCTGGGGCTAAAGGGTGGCCGGCGCGTAAGGCTGACAACCTCACCGCCATCTGTGAGCCGCTTGCCTAAAAAATGTG